TTTTTGGGGGGGGGGTTCCTGTTGCATGAAGTATTGTTTTCCGTTCTTTGACTGTCAGTCTATTAGCTTCCTTTTGGGTTAGATGGGTTTCTTGTAATATCATATGGTTGGATATTGTTTATTGATCCATTCTGCCAACCTGTTTCTTTTAGTTGGTGAATTGAGGCCATTTACATTAATGCTTATAACTGATATATATTGGTTTATTTTTTGACGTTATCTTTCTGCTGTTGATTCTTTATCTTTCTTTCCCCTCTGTTAAATTGGTTGCCTTGCTTAGTGGTTTTTTCCTATGTCTTTCTAGAATGTCTTTCAGTATTCTTTGCAGGGTTGGTTTGGTGGTCATTAAGTTCTTCAGCTGTTCTTTGTCATGGAAGTATCTTATTTATCCAACAATTTTGAAGGACAGTTTTTCAGGGTACATTAATCTGGGTTGGAAGTTGTTCTCCTTCAGGATCTGAAATACTTCACTCCATGCTCTTCTTGACTTCATTGTTTGTGTTGAGAAGTCTGCTGTGATTCTGATAGGCTTTCCTTTATAGGTGATCTGTCTCTTCTCTAACAGCTTTTAATATTCTGTTCTTATGTTGGACTACTGGGACATGGATTATTATATTTCTGAGTGAAGTTTATTTTGGTTATGGCTATTTGGAGTTCTATATGCTTCATTTATCTGTATCTCAGCTATTACTTCTGTAAATAGCCTCTTGATATTGTGTTGTCACCTTGTTTTTCATTTATACCTATCAATCTTATGGTGTTTTGCTTTCCATCATCTTGTAGCTACTGAATTGTTATTTCCTGATTCTTTGTTATTTTTAAAACATCTTTCCTTTCCTATTCACTAGCTACAATCTTGTCTTTGAGGTCTGAAAGTCTATCTTCAATTTCACTGAGGTAGTTTTGCCAACTTTTGATGGAGTTATTTCCTGTATATCTCTTTGACTCTGTTTCATGCATTGTTCCTTTCTTACATTGTTTGTTCAGTTTCCATCTTTATGCATTGTTCTTCCAATTTTTTTTTACTGGTATCAGGGATCGAACTCATGATCGTGCACTTGCAAGGCAGGAGCTTATGCCACTGAGCTAAATCCCCAGGCCCAGTTCCTCTAATTTTTAACTATGTCTTCTTTAGATGTGTTCAGCATTTCTTTCATTACATTTATCATTTCTTCTTTTACCTGGGAGATTATTTTTGGTCTGAGTTCTTTTATAGCTTCCTGGGGTTTCTTTACTTCAGTTGTTATTATTTCAGGAGTTTCATGTGTATGGCTTACATTTCTTTATGTCCATGTCTCCTAGGCTTGCTTGGGATGGGCTGGAGGTTTGAGATTGCATTTTGCTCTTTCATTTTGTCATTTTCCTATATCCCCTTAGGGAAGCCAAAGGCAAGGTCTGTTGTTTCTTGGGTTGAGAATATCTATCCTTATTGCAGGGAGTTTTCCCAGTTGAGTGGAGGTCCCTAGACAGACCTTACCATGTGACTTCCAGCCAGCTGGCATCACTGGCTGGGGCCTTACCCATCTGAGGGATGCCCCAAAGCTTTCCCTTAGGCTTGAAATCTCTGTGTACCCTTTTGGCTCATGAGGCAGAATGCAGGTGGCCAAGGGCCACTCAGGGGTCAGTTGGCAGGACCCAATTAAGCCTGGAGGGACCCGCTAGTGCATCCTCCAGTGTTATGGAATACTGGGCAGGGCCTTACCAGCTTTGGAGCGATGCACCAAAGCTTTCCTGTTGGCTGGAAACCACTATATGACCTTTCTGCTTGTGGGGCAGAACACAGGCATCCCCAGGCCACTTTCTTGAAACATTAAGTTTTTTCCTATTATTTCTATTATCACTTCTTTTTTGGTGTTTTCAAAAATTTTTTTTCTTGGATAAATTTCCTGCCTAAATTGAATGACAGAATGACACCTGGGGAATTGAAGCCTACTCATTTCCAAATAATCCTAAATTCCTCTGAGTCCTTTATGACTGAAAATTTTATCTTGAATTGGCAACTATGTCCCAGTGAAAGAGGGTTTCTCTATATGAGCTTTGATTTGGAGGCCTCTTGATTGCTAATCAACATACTGTGTAATTACTTCAACAAATACTTATGAAATGTTAATTCTGCCCCTGGAAAAATGCAGTGTTGCTTTTTCAACTCTAGACTGGTCTAGGGTCAAAGAGAATAACTGTACTTAGTGCAGCTCCAAACTACTGAACATTCTTGATTTACTCCTACACTATGTTCAGTTATGAGGGTGGGTGATATATTGGAAAAAGTCCTGGTAGAAATTAGAGATGGAGGCTTTCTTCTCAGGCCTGCCATTTTGTATATAAATTCAAGTAAGCTGTTTACTTCTTCATGGCTTAATTTCTTTTTAGTAAAGGAAAAGTATGAAGTTGCATTACACAGAAATTTTGTTACAGCTAGATCACAAGAAACACTCATGGGAGTCTGAGAATTGAGAAACAAACAAGCTTTATTGGTAGATGGCAGACAACAGAAAAGCAAGAAGCTGAAGCTATTGACCCTGAATCTTTGTTCTTCAGGATCTTTATACCGTTTTAAAAGGCTACAAGTTCCTGAGTTACCACAGTGTTGTAGTCAGGGGTTGTGAGGAGGACCATTAGATACAGGACATATAATTTATAGCATTATTTATAATGGCCACCCAAGTAGTTAAATACAGAAGAAGTGCAAGAAATCTGTCCACAACACTAGAGAGCTAGAAAATCCAGCTGAGGACCTGTATCCCACGGCAATAACCTGCATGAGATTAGCTGAAAACCTAGAACCTACGTCAATGACTCATGCAAGTCTACTTCACAGATCTGGACTGGAGGGCCCAAAGGTCAGCAGTGGAAGTCAGAAGTCTATGCCAGCAGGGTGAAAGATCTGTGTCAGTAGTTTGAGTGTTCAGCAGTGGAGCCAAGAAGTAATGCTCAAAATAAGGACAAGGGCTCCCATGAAAAGTAACACAGCCATCTTCAATGACAATCAGGTCCTGAGCTCTTCTCACAATGAGAATAAGCTCCTCCAAAGATAATAGCGAAGTCTGAATCAGGGGAGTCAGCATGACAAACTCCTCCAGAAGAACCAATAGCTCCAAATAATAACACTTAGGAGAACCCACAATGCTACTCTTCCTTTTCAGGGCTCCTTTCTATGCTGGCAACCATCCTTAGATGGGCAATCCATGCATCATGCTCATTCAGTTCAGCTGGTGTTTAAGTGGACTACCAGTTACCAATCCACAACACTCAGTAAACAACTTGTACATCTTGTTGGAATGTCACAAGACTCTTAAATGACTCTTTTCAAGCACCTACTTTTTTGTCATACAGGATATGTTTATCTTCTTTAAATTTAAAAAAAGCAATCCAGTCAGTCCTTTGGGCTGATGTCCCAAGAGGCAAAGGCTCAGACTGGACAGTCCATTCAAGAGTGAGAACTGCCACTCCCCCATAATCTGAAAACAGGGCCAGGTCTGGGTACTGGAGAGATATATGTATTGAGGACTGGTTGAAACATGTAGATCATCTTGATTACTTCTGTGCAGTTATGTTCAGATGGCTCCAGAGATGTAAGAAGGGAAGCAGGGTTGAGAGCCTGTATGGTTTTAATAGTTAGTCTTGAAGGAATACAAAAGAATGTTATCTTTTAAATCTAGCACAGTATACCAAGTTTTAGCACATGGGAGCAAGCTAAGCAAAGCGTAAGGGTAAGGGACAGTAGCGTAGAAGGTAACCACCAAGGTACTGACAGCTCGAGTCCTGGACCCGATGATATTCATTTGTCCCAGGCTTGGGAGGTAACATTCACTCAAGATTCCTGCCTCAAGCAATCTCTTTACATGGGGTTTAATTTCCTGCCACACTTCTGTGGTCACTGGGATTGCTTTCAATGAATCAGGTTTGCATGTCCCACCAGCTTCACTATCACAGGAAACACATGACCTGCTAGGCCTGGCAGATTATCCCCTGCCCAAAACGAGAAAATGTTTGACCCAAGAAGGGGGTGCCAAATGCTCTGGTGTCTGATCTCTCAAATCCAGGAGGCAACTAATCTTTTTGCATAGGAAAAGTAACAGTTAAAACATAAGATTCTGACAGGGCCTCTTCCCTAGTAGTTAGAATAGTTTCCAGGGGTGGGGATAAAGGAAATCTGAGCTTCCAGTTTGCAGAGGTCTCAGCCCAGGATGGAGCGAGAACAGTTAGGCATAAGCATTAAAGGATGACTAAGCATTTGTCCAAGCTGAAATCTGTTATAGTTCACAAAATGTATAAGTTGATGTCTTGGTTACTTTTTCTTGTTGCTGAGACAAAATACCTGACACCCAAAATTAGTTAAGGAACAGTGCATTTCTTACAGTTTGGAGGTTTCATTTCATACTCAGCTGGCTCCAAGTGGCAGGGTGGCACAGTGGGGCCATAGTAAACAGCAAGAGTGAACCAGGGAGAGAGAGAGAGAGATACCTTCTTCCCATCATTACACTGTACACTGGCTCCACCCAAGATGGCTGTTGCATTCACACCACCAATCAGAGCGCTAGAAAAACAAACCAATCACAAATGCTAGATTCAGCTGCATCCATGATTGCATCCACTGACAGTTGAAGATTGGCCAGTTGTTCCCTATACTTGTATTTTTCTACTTATGAGTGGAGTTACCAGTTGATCACTACAGATACATTCGCACTAGTGTCTACCAAGAACTTTATAGGTTTTTTTCCCCTACATTTGTGGTTAGCATGGGTTCCCTGGAGCTGAGCAACAGAGACCCATGCCCCCATCATTTTGAAACTTCTGTGATCCATCACAAACACTTTCGTTTTCTACTTCTATAGCAGCTTTGGGCACTGTTGCTTAAGATGCCCCATTTCCTTATAATAGGCACAATGATTTGGATCTAATGGAGGGCATCTCCCTCCTCATTGAGACCATTTTCCTTTGTCCCTCTTTCCTCTAATCCCTGACGGAGCCATTTCTCTCTTATAAGCTACCAGCAATACCTTTGTTGGTTCTTCCTGTAGTTTCCATTTCTCTATTTTCTTTTTCAAATCTATTTTAAAGAGAAAAAAATTAGAATTTCAAAACAATAATTAGGGGATAAAAATGGTATTTACATTGTGTATTATCTTCAAAAAAAGAGTACAAGATGTCTACATTTAATTGTCCAAACAATACTAGCACAAACTTTTACCCTCAATGAACTCAGTCTATTATATTTTCTGAGCCACTTCAACCGAGCCATAGCATCACTACAAACCCATCTAGCTTCTGTAATTTGTGGCGTATGTTGACTGGGCAACAAATGACATATTTATCATTCTGGCATCTTAGCTATCTTGGGATCAAATGGAATGTATGTCCAATAAGCCCCAGGAGGCACTCAAGAATTGTGGAGGGACTTTCATTAGTTCTCTGACACACTTCTACCACTTTATGAAGGTTTGTAAGATGACAGGGAGCCGCATGGAACCCTTTCATCAAATCCTTGTGGTGGACAGCTAGATTTTGGGCTCCCAGGGCAGTATTTAGGTACCAATTTAGTGATGAGGTAAAACACACTTCATTTCTGCTGCCTGCTCTTGTTCCATTCCCCTGGCTTTTGCTCTTACATTATCTTCGGCAGTTTTCCAAATCCTCTCTCCCCTCTGAGGAAAATAAGGCAAACAGCAACTGTTGACAGTCGTCCCAATTGGGGTGATGTGGTTTGAACACTGACTCTAAGAGGCTCATCAGAGATCAGGGTTGTTCTGATAAAGGGAAGTTTTAGTACTAAAAGGATCATACACAAAAATGTACTGAATTGTGCCTCTCTGCCCAGGCACTGCCATCTGCTGGAGAAGCAAAACTGGGATGGGAGCTGAGGAAGACACCTTCCCAGTTGGAGAAGAACCCCCACTCATAGGCTGTCTTGTGATTGCACAGAGTGTGTTTTGCCATTCATCAGTATCTGGCATGAAGAGTCCCTCACTCTGAGAGGTGGACTCTGTTATGTACCCTGGGGAGGGCTGTTGGTAGGGATGACAGTGAGGTGGTCAACAGGGTAGAGGCAGTGTTGAAGGAGCTAGAGAAAGGGGCTCATTCTCCTCAGGAGCTGGGAGTAATACAGAGGGATTTACATCAGAACACTCCCTTAAATCACCAAAGACTGCTCAAGAAGTCCCCAAAGACATGTTGTGAGCCAGTAGGACAACATTTGAATGGCATGTAATAGGAATCAACATATGGAAATTGATCTGGATGCCCTGGATTCCCAATGATAATACTCCACACCTTACCAGTTATTTGGGGGTTGACCATCCCCTCTGAAGGCCAACATGGAGAGCTGGCCATTCCAGTTCACATAGAGTCCAGATCTTTCCTCATTTAACCCTATAATCACCCTTAAACCTGTAAGAAATTATTATTATTATTATTATTTTTGTATTGGGAATCAAACTCAGGACCTTGTGCTTGCCAGGCAGGCATTGTGCTGCTGAGAAACCTGTCAAAATTTTTGAACACACAATCTAAAACAGTCAGCTTGCTGCCTGCAGAGCCCATTGTGGACACAGAAGAACAACAGCTTATCTCAGCAAATTCTCTTTTCTCTACACAGTCAAAAACACAAACAAGAGTTGGAGGCTCACGAAATTGGAAAACAGTGTATTGCAGACAAGCTTCAATTTCTCCAAGTGCAGGGCAGCAAGGAGCAGGAATGGTAGGAGCAGGTCAAACATCAAAAGTGCAAGCCAGGTGGCAGATCTGGCTATGACCTGGAATCATGGGTGCCATCTGGGGAGATAACACAGACATACAAAAAAGACAAACAATCCCGGGAAATGATAAGCACCATAGCTGCTAATTTAGGCAATTCAGAGGCAAACTCTGACCAAACATTTGGCCACATTGAGACCTTAGCAAGCACCCCATCCAATGGCCAGGCTAAACCAACTGCTAGCACAAAATAACAAGTCCCCGAACAAGCTCAAGCAAATGCTAAAATGAAACCAAATGAGACAGCTGTTTCTGTCTCACAGCCATGGTGTCCAGATACACTAGTCTCAGGAGGCAGGTGAAATCAGCCAAGGTTAATTTCACAGGAAGATCAACTGTTAAGACAAGGAGGCCCAGGGACCCCTCAATCCAAGAGCTTTTGCCATGAGAGAATCTCACTGGGGTCTCCAAAATGTTATAGCTAGATCATGAGACACACTCACAGGAGGCTGAGAATCAAGAAAGAAGTAAGTTTTATTGGTAGCTGGTGGATGACAGAACAGCAAGGAGCTGAAGCTGTTGACCCTCAGTCCTTGTTCTTTCAGGATTTTTATACTTTTTCAAGACCACAAGTTCTTCAGTTTCCAGAGCAACCATATGGCGCTATATCATGTCCCAAGACCCTTACAAAACTCTTTTCAAACATCTGCTGTTTGTTACACTGGATGTAGGCAACAGTCATTGCAACCATTGTGTGCTAAAACTGTGCCTCCTTTTGTGGGTTTTATGGTTAATTGGATGGGAGGGGAGTCTTTGGGAGTGAGGTTAAGTAAAGTTTAAGTACAAGCTAAAATGGGGCCTAAAACAAAATGGAGTCACAACTGCTCTTACAATTTAACTAGATGCTAGGCAAGAAATTAAAAAGAGGGGCTGGGGATTTAGCCCAGTGGCATAAGCACCTGCCTTGCAAGCAGGCGGTCGTGAATTCAATCCTCGGTACTGATAAAAAGGAAAAGACAAAAAAAAAAAAAAAAAAAAAAAAAAAAAAAGAAAGAAATTAAAAAGAAAAACAACAGCTTAAATAGATTATACCCTAGAATAAGCATGAGTATAGAATCAGTAATTTGTTATAAAATCAGTCTGTTTTCGTGACTGTCACTGTAAATTTTGTTTTTCTATGATTTTGAGACAGACTTGCTATGTAGTTCAGGCTGGCCTCAAATTTGTAGCAGTTCTTACCTCAGCCTCCCAAGCGCTAGGATATACCACCATACCCCACCTACTATGTGATTTTGATGTTTAAATATTGATGTTTATTTAGTGTAATGTTCATCCCTAAACAATGGCATCCCTAAACATCCCACCTGCTTCCTCTTAGCCTCTAAAGAAGAAACAGTGGTTCAAGTGATGGGACTTGTATCTTTATACTTATTTTAGAATCAAATAGGTTATTGACTCTATACTATTATACTGGCCTAGGGGTCATATGGGCCACTGCATAAATGAATACACTGACATAGGGTGAAAAGATGAAAAGTTATTTGTTACACAGCACTTTTAATAAAGAGCTGAAAAAAACAAACTTTGAACATCCAAAAGACCAGACTGATGAAATAATGCCACAGAGCTGCAATGGAGTATCATGCAGCCATAAAAGGGATAACCCTTACAAAATACAGAATAATTTGAGTGAATAAATAAGGTATGTAAAGTGTGCACATGTGTACCATTTGTTTAAAAGGAGAAAAATAAAACACATTGATACTACTCATTTGCTTGTACATACACTTAAAAAAATATACACAACCATTAGCCCTTGTTGCTTCCCAGAACTAGATACGAAATCTGGCAACTGAGGTACAAATGTGGCAGTAATTTTTCAGTGTTCATTTTTTGATTTCTGAACCATGTGTATACTAAAAAGAAAAGAACAATTTAAATCAGCATGTAGCAGTTTGAGATGAAATGGAAACATGTCCTTAGTGGAAAACATTTTTTAAAAGTAAGTGGTAATTCTAAGAGTTAATACCTGTAGTCAGAATGTTTAAACTACAAAGGTCCTCAAGATATCAATCTCTTCTAAACTTCCCATTTTATAGATGTGTAAACTAATGTTTTTGAAATTCAGTGGCTTGTGACAAATCACACAGCAGAAGAAATTTCTGGAATATTTTGATGTCTAGGACTCTTTATCATATTATTTCCTCATTTTGTGTGGGAAAAATGGAACCAAGTTTATTTAGGCTACAATATTAGCTATCATATTCTGTCTATAAATTTTAGTACACAATATGAAAACTACCTTAATCCCTGGGACTACTGTCATAGTCTTGTTTGGATCACTACATGGTTATACTTACAAATAAATGCATTTTCTGAATCATAAATTCACTGAGTGCAAGAATAAAATGTCTCATGTTAATTTTTTTAAATATACAAATGTCTACCACAAGTTTATTGCCAAAAATATTAATGTAGGTCATTAACCCCTTAACTAAAGCCCAAGTGTGGAATGTGCTTTATTTATTTATTATCTGTTTTGAGAAGGTCTCGCTCTAGGGTTCAGGTTGGCCTTGAACTCATTTTATAGCCCACGCTGGGATTATAGGCATGTTGGGATTACAGGTATGCACCACCAGGCCTGGCATTGGATGTTTTAGGAATAAGAATTGTTTGGAATTTTAAAAATGTTAGAAGGTACGCAAACCAATTATAATATCCCATATAACAGTAGCCAACAGCAGCACTCCATAATCAAACCTTGGTTTCAGCAAAACATATGGTATGAAGACTACACGTAGTTCATCACATATACATTAGTTCAGGTTATATTTTGCTACCAAATGAATTTTGTCTACAAACTGAAAAAATCTGGATGGCCAAGCTTTCTGAATGTTAGCTTTAGATAAGGGATTGTAGACTGTACTCAAGTGGGTGCTGCAAAAAAGAATCACTAGTTTCTTCAGCTCCATCTTTCTGATGAGAAGTAATCATAGCAGGCAGCTTGTGTATCAAGTTTGAACCACAGATTTTTGTTCTGGTTAAGGAATTCAATCTTGCAAGAGCTGACAGCATGAGAAGAGAAAATGAAAGAAAGCAAGCCTGCATGGCATTGTACTCCTTTTGTAGTGTATTCATTAGTTTATAGTTTAACAGATAAATTAAGGTTAAAGACTTCCTTTTAATAAATGAGTATACAAATGGAAATAAGCAAACAGAATTTCTGTCTCATAATGCTGACAAAACAGTGGAAGCAATGAGCTTTAATCAACTGGGAGGGGATTCTACTCCAGGATCTCTGTACATAGGAAAGGAATTTAAAATATTCTGGTAATTGTATACAATTTTGTTAATTTGACACTCTTACCATCTAGTACTAAACTTTTCCTGATCTCCTATATTAGAATCTTTCTCTAAAGATTTTTCTTGTTTTTCACAATGCAAAGAACTACCAGTCAAAGCAGCACAAACTAAAATCTTTTTTCCTTTCTCTCCACAAACCAAACCTCATTTCTGTTTTGTTCTTTTCATTATTCCATGGTGGGTAGCGGCTGGGGGTGTGTGTCGGAGAAATAAAATTTGCAATAGAAGACTATGAATTTGCACCAAAAGACAATATTTGGTTTTTAAAATTAGGGATGTTGCTTTGCAATCTTAAAATTTTGGCCACATTTTAACTCTGCCAATTGTGCCGTCCCGCTTAAGTTAGTTAGTATTCAGTGTTAATCACAGAAAAGGTGTATTCCATTGTAAAAATGTAAATAATAATGGTGTACAAGAAAAAACCAAGTTTGGCTATGTCAAGAGGAAGTACTAGTTCTCAAATTTTCATAATTCAAAAAATAAAGCCTAATTAAACGTATACAAATATATCAGTAAGTTGATAAAAGTAGCAGTACAAAAATAAGCAAAAACCAATTATTTTTTTCTAGAAGAAAAAAAAAAAAGCTCCCAACAAACTGTTGGATTTCTTGATCACCCAGAAGTACTACAAACTAAAATCCTTTTTCACGTGAGAATAACACGTAACTTTGTTCCTCCGTATCACCCTATCAGTTACCGGATTATTCCAGAATCATTTAAGGATGCTAAAAATCAAAAGCAAAAATCCAGATTCTCCCCAAAACTCAAAGCACAGTCTAAAATGCCAACCGTGGTTCCTCTGCAAAGAAACTGTGAGAAACCACGAAATTGATACCCTAACACACTGAAACAATTGGTCCCAAAGAACTTCTGGAATAAGTTGCTTTCAAAAATTAGAATGCAGACTCAGACACAGCAGCAGCAGTCACGATGTCCTTTAAACCACATGACCAACCTACAGAAGCAGTCTTAAAACTTACCAACTAAAATGACAACTCCCCTTTGCCGGAAGTTCACACAGGGCAGGGCAGCGGAAAAGCGCGCAGCAAGGGCAGATCGGCTGCTCGGTACCAGAACGGGTTATGGAGAGCCAACTGCCTGCGCTGCCGTGACTCTCCTTACCGTCAGAAGATCAGGGAGCAAGGAAAGGAGAATCACCTCAGAATCCTGGCAGAAAAGTCCCTGGCCTAAAACCTGGGGTGTAGAGAAAGGAGGGTCCGTGTGTGGTGACCCTCTGTGAACACGCACTGAGCACCAGGCTCTCACCAAGGCTTTAGGAGCGGGCTAGGGCGCCTAAAGTCGCGCCTCCAAGGCGGCCCCTTTCTGCTCGGATTGCACCCTACGGGTGGCTGCGGGACCCTGAGCGCCCCACCTGGGGTCTCGAGCCCCAGACTGCAAAGAGACCACCCCCGGTCTCTTTACCTCAGCGGCGTAATCCCTCCGCACCGTGCCGCGCACTAGTTTTACCACGCCCCACCCCCTGACGCCAGCGTCCTCTCCGTCACTCAAGCGTTTTCCAGCAGCTTCCAGAAACGTCGCCTCCCCAAAACCAGCCCCTCACGCGAAGCGGCTCCGCCCTGATTTAGTTATCGCGGTTGAAACTGAGGCTGAGGCTGCGAGATAGGAAGCCACGCCTCTGCGGAGCCCGGCCGGAAGCGCTCCGGTCTTCGCCTTCCCCGCCATGCCTGCATCCTTTCAAGTCCGGTTAGCAGTGGCATGGGGGACTCTTTTGTGGGAGGCTCCAACCGGAAGTTGTTTTCACAGCGGAGCTGCGATGGGGGAGGAGTAGTCCGAGGGGAACGTGGGTTGAACGTTGCTACTTGGTGTGGCGCGCAGGCTGGAACTGGAGTTCGGGCGGACCCGGTACGAAGAAGGGGAGCGCTCAGCGCAGGTAAGGGGAAGAGGGAGTCGTTTCCATCGGCGCTCGAGATGGGGAAAAGCGGACTGGTTGGGTGTCCTGCGGGCGGGTGGCGGGATTGGGGGTGCAGGTCCGTCCGGGTGCAGGGAGGTAAACACTGAAGAGAAACCAGAGTTGGTTTCCCTCTCCCGAGCAGCGTGGAGATGGGTAGGCATAAGGGGCTCAGCCTCTCGGCTGTCCGGGCTTGGATTTTTAAACTCCTGTCTCTCGGTCCTGCCCGGCCGGAGTGGGCGCAGCTGGAGATCGGTATCCCGCCGGGCCGCTTCTCCAGCGTTGGCTTCGCCCGGACGCCTCGTGTGCAGGGTCTGCTTGGTTTTGGAGCTCAGAGGGCAAAGCTCGAAGGGCCAAGGCCTTTTCTGCGAGCAGCTATTTCTCTGGGTTTCCCCATTTTCCTAATTCCCGGGGCCATCTCTGCTACAGCTGTAACTGTAACTCCCCATGCTAGTTAGGGGATCGGGGCTTGCAGAAGTCTTGAAAAGGTGTAAGAGGAAAGATGCTGGGTGTGAAAGATAAAACACTGGGTTGGTCTCATCGTGCAGTGAACCTTAGGTCATAGTACTACTGAGCTGTTTTGGATGGACTCTCCCTAAAAACAGGCTCAGATAAAGAGGTGCTTTTTAAATTGAGCAGAGATAGACTCAAGCTTGTTTTTTGGAGAGCAGTATCATTCGTTTGACAGCGATATGGAGTCGGGAGGGAATGGAAAGAGAGGAAGCATTTTCAAAAGAGCTGTTGACAAAATTTGATGACTTACTGCGGAAAAAGAGGGAAACGAGAGCAGAGAAGGATTCAAACTTGTTAGTTTTGTGTTTGAAAGGCTGGAGATACCAATGTTATGTTGAGATACAGGGACCCGGGAGCAGGTTATTTTTGAAGGGAAGACAGTGAAGGCAGTTACTTAGGGATATATTCAATGTAAGAATCATCCCAGGATTTTTGTGTTTGACAGAAGACCTAGGTAGCTTTTGGTTGTGTTTTTTCTTTTTGTGAATTTTCTGTTTCTACCTGATGTTTCCATTGAAACGGTGGTGGTGCAATCAGGAGGGCAGTTTTGAAGGCGTCTTGTGTTTAACTCATATAATTGAGGGAGAAACAGAACCACCTGGATCCTCCAGGCAGATGGAAATTTTTATCAGAAATTATTTGAAATACATAACCGATTCTCTTTTGAGAATGGTGCAGAATGATACAAGGTGCACTGTGTATGGCTTACATAATGTATAGCATTAATACTAAGTGGTAGCTTTAATTATTATGTATCAGTTGTTGAGCATTAACTCATTTAATTTTTAGACCAGTTTTATGGATAATTTTTGGACTCAGACACGTACAAATCTCATGCTTTTACTATTTTGAAACCGTATACATTTGACTTTCCAATATCCTGTAAATCCTATAAATAAATTACAAATAGAAGCAGCCAAAGATGATAAGGTGGTGGAGCGCAAAGCTCGAAGAGCTAAGACCTTGTCTTTGAGAAGCCTAAAAATGAAAAATACTCTACCCTCAAGGCAATCCTCAGTCAGATAATTTTGCCTCCCCAGGGGCATTTTGGCAGTGTTTGGAGACTTTTTTGGTGGAGAGAGGTCAGCGATGCTCCTCCACATTCTGCAATGCACAGGATAGTTTTTACAGCAAAAAACCATCTGATCCCAGAAGTGTGGTGGTGTAGTTGAGAAGCCCAATCTTATGATTATTTCTTCAGGAACTGGAAATTAAGATTCGTTGATGCTGCTTTTTTTTAAAAGAAGTTTTATTTTTGAAATTATTCCTTGACTTGAAGGATGTGTGAAGTTATTTAGCTAGAACGGACTAGTGTAACTAGCTTTTCAAAGTGAGCTGATGAGCCACTGAATCCCAGAACATGGTTGTTGTAGAATGATAGATTTTTAGGTTTTGGAAAGAGTTACGTGTGAAGCTTTTACAGTGTCTTTGCTAAGTAATAATTTCTTCTGCTTAAAGGATTCTTACATGTGATTTTGCTGTATTTTAAATTCATATTTCAATTGCTTTTAGCAGCATTTTCCTCGTACCTATCTATGTCTTGTAATTTTGACCACTGGATATGGTTTTGCTTCACAGGACTTACACAAGCTTGCCATGTGTAATTTGTACTATGGCACTGATTATATGTTTTGTTCTAGTGAAAATTAGTTACAGAAACATTAATTGGTGTTGGCAACTTTTAAAAAGTAACGTTCTCAGCCATAATGGTACACACCTGTAAGGAGGCTGAGGCAGGATTGTTGTGGTTCCAGGGCAGCCTGGCCTGTGTAGCACAATCCTGTCTCAAAACAAAACAAAATTCTTAGTTGGTGAAGGATTGATTAAAAATAGAAATGTATGATACATGTGGTTCATTGGTTCTTTTATCCCTGTTAAGTAATAAAACAATGAATCTGGGAGGTTTGGGGTATTTTTTTCATGATAATGTGGACATGTTTGATTTTTAATTGTGCATAGACACTTAAAAATGTAGGTTTTTCAAACTCTGGTCAGTATAGTTTGCTTAAATACTTAGTAACTCCCCATATTACAAATTTTGTTTAATTTGCTTACAGCTGAAAATAAAAGCTATGACTAGTTTCTTCTACCTTTTTCCTGTTATTTGCTAAATATATAAATAAGTTTAGGTATTTCAGTTTCAAGATCATAATTCTAGGATATGGCTATCATGGGACATACATTAAAATACATTTCTTTTATAAAATAACGTAAGTTTCTTTTAAATAGGATTTTTATTTAATTGTTTTGACTTTTTTTTTCCAGGGTTCATTGAAAAATCCTTAGTGATATTGACATGTTTCAAGTGACATAAATTAGCCAAAGACTCGGAATGATGGATTCTTCGAAGATTGGAAATGGTTTGCCAGTGATTGGACAAGGGCCTGATATAGGGATATCTTCACTCCCCGTGGTGGGGTATTTGGGAAAAGTTAGTGAACTTATTTCTTGCCTCAGTGCAAAGTTTTTTCTCCCCTTTGTATTTTTGAGATTTAAAATTGGTTTTAATTTTATCGATTCCAAAAATGGTGTATCTTCACGGAAATCTTACAGCAAGGCGAAAGATTGTTTACCTCTTTGTATTTTATTAATATGTGGAAGTAGAAATAGAGCATAGACCTTACGGTTTCCTATTTGAGAACATGGAACATTTGTTTGCCTAGGACTTGATGTTAATTTTTTTCTTGCAAATAAAATTGATGCTGTGTTTTCACTTAAACCTTAAATGTTTATCTTTTTTTAATAATAGCTGTATTTAAAATGTTATATGCATTTGTTTTATTTGCCATTTGTAGTCTTGCCAGAACGGTTGTTGAAAATTGTAATTTTTTTCTGGTTACCTTTTTGTTTAACCTTTTGTAACTAGATGTGTTTAGGTATGTTTGTATTTTAATACACTTTATTTCTCTTTTAGAATTATGATTCAGCTAAAATTACATCAGATGGCTATTGCCCTGCTTGTAAAGCAAAGGGAAAGTTAAAAGCCTTAAAGACTTACCGAATTAGTTTTCAAGAATCTATCTTTTTGTGTGAGGATCTACAGGTAAATTATTATTGTACATAGTATATAGGTTTTAACCTTTTGCTGTTTCGTTCATTTATATTTTTACTCATTCTGTATTTCTTATATAGATTTTTAATAAATAATTTGATACAGTAAATCCAGTTGGTATACAGTTTAAAGTTTATTTTTAACATTTGATTTCCTGAGTTGGTATATTTTTTTTGTTTTTGAAATTTTGTGAGGGTTGTTAGGTTTTAGCCTATAACACTCTCTCCTTGCTTTGGTTTATTTATTAACTTTGGGACCGATTGAAAAATCTTAGAAACTGGTTAGTCTAAAGACACTGTATATTTTGTGCTAAGTACTGTATACTTAAAAGACTGTAAGTATCTTTTAGAGTTAATTACAGTAAATTGTTTCTGCTTGTGTTATTTTATATAGGTCATTTAATTCTGCAGCACTCAACATTTTATTATACTTAATGGTTCATGAAACTTTTGTGCATGTTTAATTCTTAAACCTTTGCAAGATAGGCATTTTTCAAGTGAAAAAACCTCCAGTGAAGGGAGCAGCTCCTTAGGATCCCCTGGAGTGCACTAAAGTATTTCTGGCCTTAGCACTCAGGGAATTGATAGAGTTCTGTAGATTTTTACTTTTAAAGGATGAGTCTGATGACTAACTAATTTGGAAAATATTAGACTAAATTACAGGGCTGTTGTTAAATACTTTGTGGGTCTAATTTGAAAGAAGACATTTATGCATTTATTCAGTATGTCACTATTATTGACACTATTCTCAGTCCAATGATGAATAAAACAAAATGACTCACTTTTAAGAAGGTTATGTTCTAAAGTAGAAAAGACCATGAAGTTAATAAATAGCGCCATTTTTTTCCCCTCAGATGATAGAAAGTATTGTGGAGAAAAATCAGTCAATGGCCACTAGAGTGTCAGGACTTTGCAGTTATAAACGAAGTGGTAAGCAGAATGCGTCACTGAGAGAGTGAAATTGAGGAAAGGCCTTTGAGAGCAGGAGAGCTGTCTTCCAGGCAGGGGGAGAAGTAGCACAGTGAAGGCTCTGCGAGTAGAGAAGCTGCTTGTTACCTTTGTGCTGTTGGCAGTGAAACCAGTGGCACTGTTGGAGTACAAAGCAGAGTAAGGGACGCTGGGTCAGAAAGGTAACTGGAGAGCTGACCCAAGTCAGGTCTTACCACAGTAAGGTTTCTTGACTTTAATTCTGGACAAGGTGAGGAATCAGAGCAGAAACATTGGCTGAAGAGCACTGATGCCGTCTGATTTATGGGTTAAAAGAATCACCATGACTGCGGGGTCCAATCTGTAAATGGGTAAGAACTTGGCTTAGTTATGTTCTCATTACTGGGACAAAATACCTGACACCATAACTGAGGAAGAAAGTTTTATTTTGACTTGCAGTGTGTGGAAGTTTCAGTCTATAGTATGCTGGCTCCAAAGCAGGCCAGCATGGTAGAGAGGTCTGAGAGAGGAGGAAGAAGTCATAGCCTGGTAGCAGAAAGCAGAGAAAAATCGAGGAGGAGGGAGGGAAGGAGGGTTTTCTGGTCACGTGCCAGTAAAGCATCTCCAGCCAGGCTGCAGCCCCAACATCACATTTAGCTGTAAAGGCATCAGTGGACTGATCTGCTGATGAGTGTCACATACTCATGATCCAGTCACCTCCCAGACGCTCCACCAATGAGCACGTGAGGCTTGGGAGGACATCTACATAGAAAGCATAATAGAACTGAATCAGAGAGACTAGTTTATTGCCAGTCTAGCTAAACCGTATCCTGAATGTGGAGTCCATTGATTTAGGTGAAAAAACTCCTGTCCTGCCTTGAGCAGGAGTTCTTGTAATATTTAGTAGAGTTCTTTAACCAAGGACTGTAAGAATACAGTTGTTCCTGTTCTCAAGAGATAGATTTTGGCAGTGAAAGTTGGATGTGTTATTTGCAATTAAGTGTTTGAAGGATTCTTTTGTAAGTGAAAAAAAAAATTTCAATTTGTAGTTTGCTAATGTTAAAAAAATGAGTAATTTATTAATCTAAAATTTAAAACATTTTCCTAACAGCAATAGTGTTCTTTATAAAAAGATTGGCTTACAGCAAGGATCAGCACTCTTTGATGCAAAAGTAAAATGAGTTTTATAAATGATTGGAAAAAAGTAAAACGTGCTCTTTGATAACAAATGAAATTTATGAAATTCAAATACTAGTGTCCATAAAGATTTACTGCAATGTGGCCATACCCAATTATTTCTATATCCTTCATGGCTGCTTTTCCACTAAAACAGCAGAATTATTTGTGACTGAGACTATATAGCGCATGAAGCCCAAAATACTTATTTTCCAGCATAGGTCAATTGTGCTAATCCTTGGTCTATAAGATCCATGGATCGAATGAATGATTGATTTCCGGTTGTAAAACTTGGAGTTCACTAAATATTTTGCTTTCATTCGCAATAAATTGGAAAGAACCGTGTGGCAATCCAATTTTTATATTAAAACTACAATTTAATATGTATAATTTTTGCTTTAAAAAAATCACATAATACTGTATTCAGAGCAGCTCTTCAAAATTAATACCAAATTAGAACTTTCAGTTGTCTGCAGAGTTTGCCTTTTTTCTTGAAATAGTGTTTGGCCTTATTTGTTTTCTGTAAGAATAAAAACAAATTTATTTAAGCCACTCTCCAAAAAATCAGAGAAAGACGCATTCGGTTTAGATGGTTATCTGAGCTAAAGTATTACTGCTCTGTATCTTCTTTAAACTTTCTTAAAGGATAGGCTAAAAAGCTGTATTCTAGTTAAAAAAGATTGATGTTCACTATAAATAAAATAGAAACTAAAGTCAAAAACATGAAAAGATAAAAATAAAACTCTACAAAAGCATTTAAGGAAACCACTCAAGGCTTTTAGAACCCAGAGCTTTTGGGGTGACCTGCATCTCTAGCCATTCTGTGTTTTTTATTGTTTTGCTATTTTGAGAGCAGGTAGTCTTGTTCAGTTGGCCTGGCTGGGCTCAGACTTGGCATCGTTCGTCCTCAGCCTTCTAGAATGCTAGGATTACGGGCATCTGCTGTTGGCTCTGCTTGTTTCCGGTCCTTTAGTTTTTAAAAAAAAATTGTGGCAAAAAATGCAGCAACTTATTTTACCCACTTTAAAGAGTACTTTAGGAGTATTGGTTATGTTCTAGAGCTGCTTTCAGCTAGCAGCACGGAGGTGCTGTGTCCAGGTACCCTCATGCTGCCCTTGGCAACCCTGCTAGATTGTTTCTGTGTATGACTGCTCCGTGTCATATCTTTTTATATTAATGGGGGTTTTCTGGTCACGTGCCAGTAAAGCATCTCCAGCCAGGCTGCAGCCCCAACATCACATTTAGCTGTAAAGGCATCAGTGGACTGATCTGCTGATGAGTGTCACATACTCATTAATATAAAAAGCCAATCTTTTTATATTAATGAAATCATGCAGTACTTTTACTTGGCGGGCTCGTTTCCTTAACATTCTCACAGATACAGTCTATACCTAGTTCCATATATACTAAAAATTTCATAAATATAGTATTTTAAAGTAGTATTCACTTACAGAAGCACCTAAATAAGAGAAATTAGTGTATTTCACATGTCTCTGGCTGTGAATCACCTCAAAACCAAGTGGTTATTTTCCTGATTTTGTGGGTCTGGCAGGTGACTCTTAGCCCTTGTAGAATGTCTGCTGCAACAGTTGAGATACCTGTGTGTCTGGTAGACAGTGCTGGCTGCTCTCTGGGTGCTCAGTTAGGCAGTCAGTTGGAAATCTTAGTTCTTTTAATGAGGCTAATTGGGCTTTGCAATGTGATAGCTGGAGCTGGAAGGTGAGTTTTAGGAGGACAATCTCATTGAGCCAGTCCTTTTTTTTAAAGACATGCCCTCACTGTGAAGTTCAGGCTGGCTTTGGACTCACTTTGCAGGCCAGGCAAACCCTGAACTCACAGTAATCATCCTGCTTCAGCCTCTCAACTGCTTGAGCCAGCCTTTATCAAGCATCCATGTGCGTCCTGTGTTCTGTCAAACAGGGCTGTGTCCTGTGTTCTGTTGCACTGAGGCTGGGGATTTAGCTCAGTGGCACAAACACCTGCCTGGCAAGCTCAAGGTCATGAGTTTGATCCCTGGTACCAAAAAAAAAAAAAAAAAAAGGTCGCATGGCTGAGCCTTGTCTGTAGGAGAGTGACCATAAGGGCATGAATTACAAGGAGAGAGTGGTCCTTTGGTTCACTGGAGGCCTAGTAGGCAGTCTACCGTACCTGTATAGAAGGTGTATTTTAAATGAAGGCATTTCGTAGTATATATAGGTTCTTGAATTTCCTTTTTAGAATATTTTGGTAATTTTCAGAGTTAGGAAAAATTCACTGATTTGTGTACATTTTTATATTTGGTTGCAATTGTGTTAATGCGTAGTAAGATTTGATAAGGACATTAAAATTCAATTTGATTCTAAACCCAATAAAGGTACAAAATAGCGATGTTCTCAGATTCATGTTCAGTTTCAGAATATAGGGAAAACAAATTGCTCTTTTCTTGTTAGTATATTCTAATCTAGATTAAATCCTTGATTATTCAGATTAACTAGAAAAAATATTTTAGGCAGTCAAATTTTGGTTGGCTCTAATTCTTCCAAATTTAGGCTAATGAATAGTCATTAATGTCAGACCTTCAAATTTTATGTGTTTTTATGGCACAGGAACTGTAAAATAAAATGAGCTTATTAGAATTTCTTTAATTTTCATAATTGTTGTTTTTTCTTCCTAGTGCATCTATCCTTTGGGCTCTAAATCACTTAATAACTTAATTTCTCCTGATTCAGAAGATTGTCACACTCCAAATAAGCCTCAAAAAAGAAAGATCTTAGAAACCAACTGTGAAGATTTATCTCTTTTAGCAAAGTCTAAAAAGACTAGAACTCATATTTTTACTGACGATAAACAAATCTTAAATAACGGACATAATGGAGAAGAATCTAATAAAAGCTCATCAAATGTGCTGCACGGTGGTCACCAGCATAATTCAGCGAGGACCGCTGATTGCTCAGGACAGAGTGAGGCTATGGACGCTGCTGACCGCGATGTGGCCGCTGCGGGTCCTGCTGCAGCCGATGTTCCTGGGGCTGGGGGAGTTTCTTCTCCCAGTAAAGGAGGCACATCTGGATTTGGAGCGACATGCAAGAGAACATTTTCCTTTTGCCAGACTTCATGTGTCCAGTGGAGAAACACTAATGCGCTCTGCTGGTTAGATTCTATCCTGTCAGCTTTGGTGCACTTGGAAGCCTTGAAGAACACTGTGACTGAATTGTGTTCTAAGGACTCTGTATTTTGGCGGTTGTTTGAAAAATATAATCAAGCAAATAAGCTTCTATACACCAGTCAGTTGGATGAAGTTAAAGGTTGGTATTAATGTATTTTACCTTTTAAGTTTTTGAAGATTTTTAATGTTTTGAAGGTTTAATGGTTTTGGAAAAGATGCCACCAGTTGTTTCTGTAGAGTCCTGGTTGCCAGAGAGCCACAAAGTGCCATGAACTGTGAGATATTAGCAGTCACAACATTGTTGACTATCTCAGAAATGACTTTTTCCAAAACCTAGTAATGTGGAAAGAGGCTATGGTTGTGCCTTAGCTTGTCAAGGTGATAGTGGTCATCACAGCATTCTATCAAAGTAAAATCTTAAAATTTTTAACTACTGAAAAGTGGACTAAAGTAAAAAAAAAAAAACTCAACCAAAAATCCAGTCCCAAATCTTTCTTTATAACAAAGGATATATTACTATTTTATTTACTATAAAAGAGGATACCCATGAGGCTACCTTCCATCCCAAGAACTATTAAACATGTCCACTTAATTATTTCTACCTGTGTGTTCATAGTGTTTGCTACCCGCCATTTACTCAGAGGGTAATTGTGTTTTATTATTATTACCTTGAGCTGCATTTTATCATTGTTTTTCTTAACATATATGTAGCTAAAAAATATATTGACAAATATAGATTGGAACTTTGTAAAAAGGGCATTGTACAGTGTGTACTCTAGTATCTTTCCTTTGGTAAGTTGTGGGAAGCTACTTGTGTTGTGGCTCAGTGATTTTCAGTGCTGTGTAATATTTGCACTGGAACCGCCTCGATGCCATTTTCCCTCAGTATCTGTGGGAGCTGGTTCCAGGAGCCCCATCAGGTACTGCATACAGTTAAACAGTGCATGATGTGTGTGTAGAACCTTGGCAGTCCTTCCATACGTTTTAAAGCACTCTGGATTACTTGTGAGAACTCATGTAAGTGCTGTGCAGATAGTTACTACCCTGTGTAGTACATCAGGACAAGGGATCGTTTATGTTCCCTCTTCTGTGAAAGGCTGTCTTACGCCTATTTGTTCTATTGATTGTCCTGTTCTTATTGATTTGGCTTTTAACATCTTCATTGGTATTTGTATGTCATATAACGTGTTGCCAAATCATCTCCCAGTTTGTGCTTGTGTTTTTACTTTGAAAAGATATGTTTTGAGTTTCAAGAGGCTGTAGCTTTCCTTTGGGAACTAATGTTGGTGGCTTTTTAAAGAAATTTTTCCCAAAGTCAAGAAGTCATTCCCTGATATTTTCACTGAAAAGCCAGTTTTAATTTTGATACTGAAATTCTTAACTTGGCTAGGGTTAGTGTTGTGTGCATGGGGTGAGGGTAAGGATCCATTCTTCTTTGCACAGCCAGTTTTTCTAGCTCCACTTTTTTGTCAGCTGACCCTCCATGCCACCTTTGTCGTGTGCCACTTGTGTAAGCACGTACAGCTGCCCCTTGCCTCTCAGGTTTTCTCCAGGTGTGTCTGTCTGCATCATTTATTACGGCTTCTTACAGTAATTTTTTAAAATACCTTGGTATATTTCTTACCTGATCTTATTTGTGCCTTTTTTTAAAATGCCAGACTTAATATGCCAAGATGTTTTTGTTTTTCTGTTTTGGGGACCTCTATGTTTATTTGTTGTTTGCTGCACTGGGAATTGAATGCAGAGCCTTCCCTATCCCTTTTTATTTTCTGTTTTATTTTGAGACAGAGTCATAAGTCCCTATGTTGCCCAGGCTGCACTTGAACTTCTGATCCTCCTAGGATTACAGTCACGCACCATGATGCTTGACTCAAGTTTTCTCCACTTGAGTGGAAGATGTTTTCTTATGCATGGCCGTGCCTTGGGTTGTCCCGTCCTCTATTTACATTCTACACATTGCTTCCTCTTACTAACTATGCAGGCTGCATATCATGTTTCACTGTTAGGACTTCACAGCATCACAAATATCCATATATCTTGAATACAGTACGATTTATAGCGTAGGAAGGACGTTAAAACATGAATGTAAATGGTTTTGCTGAAGGGCTTTCCAGAAAGGTTTTGCTAACACAGTTTTTTTGTTATGTGAAACAAAGTATCTCGAGTGTTGTAATAACCTTTGGGTATAAACATTTAAAAAGTTAGGATTTTATTAAGTAGGAAATGTTTCGCTTTGAGTTCTTCCAGGACTGATTTGCAACTTTTACAATTCCTTTTTTACAGGATTTCTTTTTGCTAAGTGAGAAGTGATGGGGGTCTTAGTGGGGTTGAACTCAGGATCTGGCACATGCTAGGCAAGTGCTCTACCACTGAGGCACACCCCAGCCCTTTCTTAAAATTTCTGTTTTGTTTGAAATCAGATCTCCTCACATAGCCCAGGTTGGACTCAGACCTGCAGCCTTTGTGCCTCAGCTTCCTGACTAGCTGGGGTTGCTGGCGTGCGTGCCCTGCTTGCTGCCCTTGTCTTTTCTTGTTTCAGTTTCCTATACTTGATGAGCAGGTGACTGGTTCAGTTAATTATTGTAGAAGAGCAACATTGGATGTTAGAATTTGTTTTACATTTTTATATTAACTCTTTGCAATATGTTACAATTCTTATAATCTGGTTGTAAAAATTATATTTGAGCTTCATTATTTTGGATTGTAGAGTTTATTCTTTTCCATAATCAAATAACAAAAATTTTGGTTAATATGCTCCGCCTGCTTGAGCTGCCAGGAGTACATACATGACTGCCCCATTGGGTAGCTTAGACCCCTGGTGGTGCAAGCAGATCTAATCACTCACTGATCTTTTTACTAATAAGATTAATACAAAGTCTATAAACAGGCTAGTTTCTTGAATAATTACTGCCAAATATAAAAATCAATACTAGTCATGCCAGTTAAAAATGTAATATAATACAAATATAATAATGTATATTGATGCATTTCGACATGGAAGTCTTATAAAGTACCCCATTGCTGATATGTATAATACATATTTACAATTGCTGTAGCACAAATTAGCTGTATTATAATTTTTTACATCGTTTTCCTATTTTTCCCCAAAGGAACTATAATATGATGACCTCTGATCTGCTAAATCAAGGCCCTTTTTTGCATTATGGTAATCATAGACCCCCTGAGAAGCAGTATAAGCTGCCCAGTAGAATAGTCAAATTCGTATCTGCCACATTCACAGTGGGGCATAATTTGTTTTCTTGCCAGGTAGCTTGAACCACTGATGGTATATGAATGAGTAACTGTCCCATCAGGTAGCCTTTTATTTATTTTACTGGTAAAAAGACTGATAAACGATTTGATCTGCCTGTACCACCAGTGGTACCAGTTGCCTGGTGGGACTGTCATGCATGTACTGTTGGTGGGTAAGCTGTGGGAACATGTTAATGTTTACTCCAGGTTCAGCAGAATCCGGGTCTTTTCCTCACTGAAGCGCATAAGCAGAGTGTGATCAGGTATGGATTCGTATAACAGATTTGAGTGAAAAGATCCATGTATATGTTGAGCGTAGTCAAATGTATTTGGTGTCTATTCAAAATAAATTTTCCAATTATGCTGTGTAATTTCTTATTATACTAATTGTGTTGTGAGGACTTTTACCCTAAAGAAGTGATCAGAAATACAGATGGATGCATGCCCAAAATCTATCACTATAATATATATAATACTGAAAACAACTTATTTCTAGCAAAGGAGGAGTGTTAAATAATTAAGTGCTATATTAAATCACAGTGTAATCCCCAGCCTAAAAGCGTTTAAGGAAGCAAATTTCTGTGAACAAAGCAGGATATATAATTCCATAAAGGTTATGATGCCAAACATCCTTCCCCGCCAAGATAGTGAAATGTAACATACATTGGTTTGAAAGAGTCATGGCTTGATTAAGATTCTCTGTAAACCTTCTGTGCTTATAACTTAGCTAAGTTTTAAAAGTTATGCAAAGTATAATAAATGTTTAGAAGTTTCTACCATAGGTAATGATAACATGTAAAGAGATATTTTTCAGTTGCTTCAGAGATGGGCAAAATTTCTAAAAGGTAGACTGCAGGTTGAATATTCCTGATGTGAAAATCCAAAATCAGAAAGTATCTGAGCTCATATGATAGGTCTCAGTCAAGAAGCAGTATTTGATAAAAATATAATGTGAAATTACTCTCAGGCTATGTGTATATGAAACATAAGTGAATTTCACTCTAAACTTGTATGTCATTCCTCAAATATCTCATTATGAAGGTTCAATTAATACAAAATCCAAAGAACCTGAAATTGAAACACTAATGATCCTAACCTGTGTTTTAGTAGGCCTCTGCTTCATTTGGGTGAGCAAGACTTTCACCAAGGTTTTATTCAGGTGGTAAATGCTAACAATACTGTGCTGATAACAAGCATTGAGAGAGACTATATGATACACCACAGAGGAGGAAGAATTAGATATTCTGTGTTTTGCCTGTTGTGTGTTTATCCGGAAAACTTAATTACTTTGGTAAACTTTCACTCTTAATTACTTTTCTGTGGAAAAATGCACACTGATGAGAAATTGATAATGTTCTGTTTTAGATGGAGAGTATAAAAAACTTACTTCAGAAATATTTGCAGAGATAGAGACCTATCTGAATGAAGTCAGAGATGAAATTTTTGCTAAACTTCAGCCGCAGCTTAGATGCACATTAGGTAAGTAATTGGTCTAATTTAACTCATCTGTCATAGAAATCTGTACACTCTAAGAAAACATTGTTTTAGTACTTTGGATGGTCACACTTAGTGATCACCATGAAGGGTAGGATGACAGGAATCTGCTGTAGGCTAAGTCAGCTATTCTGACTTAGTATGCAGACTGGCATTTTACCTGTCAGGAGGGGGTGTATTTCTCAGAACTAACTGGACATTCGAGGGGGTAAACATCCTTCGGTATTCCTCCAAGACTCCCCAAGTAGGCAAGTTCAGCATTTTCAACTTCGTGTGTTACAAAACATATAGGACAGAGCCAGGCATAGTGGCACACACCTGCAGGCCCAGCACTTTGGAGGCCAAGGCAGGAGGATCACAAGGTGCAATCTCAGCTGGTCAACTTAGCAAGATCCTGTGTTGTTAAACAAAACAGAAGCAGCTGGAGATGTAGCTCAGCGTCACCCAAAACAAAACAACCCTTAGGAGATTTTATAGTACCAGTGCTCGGGCCCCATACAAGTCAGAGTCTCAGGGACAGGCCTCAGATAACCAGTAATTTTTAGAAACCTCTACATAATTCTTAAATGTGGACAGGTTTGCAAGTTTTTGATCTAAAACCACCAGGATAATTCTGCTTTTCTTATCAGTGATTATAAGAATGGGCTTTCGATCAGTGGAAAATTGAGAGATACACTGGTGACCTTTTGGGAAAGCATTCTCACCTTTGAAAACAGAACAAGGATGTGACTTGCTTTTCCCTCCATGAATTAATTTTGTCCTTTGGGAGCAGAGGGAAGTAAGGGACCTAGAGTTTCTGTCCATGTCCTTCTAAATTTTTTTGGTGTTATAAAAAGCGCTAGTGTTAGTTGGGTTTTTGAGGTTTCAAACTCAGGGGTGCTCAGCCACTGAGCTATATTCCCAGCCCTTTGCACTTGCACTTTGGAACAGTGATTGCTGCGTTGCCTAGGCGGGCCTCACTTGTGCTCCCCCACGTACGTGAGCCTCCTGAGCAGCTGGGCATGTGCCCAGCTGGTACTGGTGCGTGAGCAAGTGTTTCGTTTTTTGTTTCTGGCACTGCGAATCAAACTTGTCAGGCAGGCACTGTGTGGCTGAGCTGTATCCCCGGCCCTGGGGTTTTGTTTATTGAGAGTGATGCCTTTTATCTTTGCCTTAACTTTTCTGTTAATAGTGTGTGGTTCTTTCTATTAGTAATTACCTGTAATCCGTTGTGTGTAATACCTGTGCCTTGTAGGTTTTCTCTCATCGAGTGGCTTTTATTTTAGGCCAGTTGATTCAGAGGCAGTTTCTTTTGTCCATACCTGACAGCTTTTGACTTGTTTGTCCCACGGTTCTGCTTCTTAGTCTCTCCTTTGTTTTTTTGTGGGCTCCTACATACGTTTGCTCCATTTTTATAATGTGGAACAGATTTTCCATACGCGGGAACTGTTTTCATTTATCAAGTGGGATCTCTAGTGAGGTGAATAATCTTTCTTGTTTATCAAAGTTTTACACACAGTAAAACCATTTAAAGATAGTCATTTAAATGTGTGTGTTACCATAGTGGAGATGTGGGATAGCTCTATCATCAGAAGTCCTCACTAGACTTTGTTGTCTCCTCTGTGTTTTATCCCCACACGCTGAGGTGTTGGGTGAATAACCCTTTTCCAGAGATCCCTAGAGTGCAGACATTAGGGCTTATGATCTTACTAAGGAAATTTAAACTGCTGCAGAAAGCACTTTAAAATCTTACTGTATCTTGTCCTTCTAAACATTTATTTCAAAGTACTTAACAGTGGAGAAGCAGAATTGACATTGGCCCTGAACGTTGCTGAAACTTTGCAGATCAGCTTCTCTGTAGTAGTGATTATTGGGTTTTGTTTTGGATTCCGGGACTTGAACTCAGGGCAGTCACATTGAGGTGCATCTTTGTTAGGTTTTTTATTTTGAGAGGACATCTTGGCTCAGGTGGGATATGAATTTGAGATCCTCCTGCCGTAGGCCCCTTAAAGTTTTGATTGTTTTTAATCAAGCAGACCTTTCAGTGACTCCTTGCTGTCTCTCTCTCTTCAAGTTTTCTGTTAATTGCTCATCAGTGTCTTTAGGCTGCTTCCCATTTAGATGAGTCTAGATGAGAACCTCCCCTTTCAGCTGCTTTGTAAGAGGAGGGAAAGAATATCCATGAGACAGTACTGGGACCGCTGGGGACATGGGGTCCCTACTTCACAACGTAATCAGGAAAATACGAAAAGCAGAGTTCTAAAGTGGAAGAAAATACACAGAAATGTGTATCATTTTGGAGAGGGAAAAACTTTTTTACATAAGATTAAAAAAAGATTCATAAATGTTAATGTAAAGTTTTAAACCTCTTGGCATAGATAGTACAGAGAACAGTCAGGATATCTTCAAAAGAGAAAAAGGTGACCTGAACATGGTAATGCACAGTTAACAGAAGCAAAAACTAAATAGCTGGACAGCAGTCCCTAAAAGGTTTGCATGTGTGAAATCATTTTAAAGAAATGTGCAGATTGTGCTGAGACGTAGCGTAGAGAATTGGGATTAAGTTCTAGAGGCAAAGAGGCTGCTTAATTTAGGCAGATTATAAAAACAGAAAGTAGACATTGATATTTTATGTTCTCTAACTTTATACTTAGTGCTTAAAATCTGTAATCTAAGGGAAAACAATTGAAATAAATTTAGGAGCTATATAACTTACCTAAGATCTGTAACGATGTAACTTATTAAACTGTTTTGAGCCCTTGTGTAGTATTTTGTCTCACTGAAAACTGCATATTTTAGACTTGATTTTGCGTTGTCATAATGAAATGTAAAGTACTTACTTTTCAGTTAATATTTAGGTACAAAACAGCAAACATTTAAAGACTGACAACTATAATTACACATTCATACATAGTGCCTGCTCCTTCTGCCTAGCCTTGCAGTCTTCATTTCTGCAAGACTGATTTGTTTCTAGTTAAAAAATACTTCATTTACATTTCTGTGTTTATATAAAAATAACAGAACTGTACCACAGAGGTGGCTGTTTAAACAGCCTTTGTAACTACTGGTAACTGTAGAATACTGTCCGCTGGCTTCCTGCCAGGGAGACTGTTGTGACGCTGTTCTGCACAGCTGTAGTTCCAGACTTGAAGAACTCAACTGGGACCATAAGACAGGGGAAGGGACTCAGTTTCCTGGACCGCATAAGCTCCCCTGAGGGGGAAAAACCATTGAGACTAAATGTGAGAATGAGAATCTTAATTAACCCATGTGCTAGAAGCCAGTATTTACCATTTGGATTTTATTTCAATGACCAAAAAATTCAGATCTTAAAAAGTTTCTGGAGTTTAAATTTTTAAGGAAAAGACTGGGATAAAATGTCAGAAGGCATGGTAGCTAAATTGTCAGAAGATATGAGGCAAGCTGGGGATTTAGCTCAGCGGCATAAGTGCCTGCTTGCAAGCAGGCAGTCCTGAGTTCGATCCCTGATACCCATAAAAAAAACGAAAAAGACCAAAAAAAAGAAGAAGAAGAAGAAAATATGAGGCTGGTTGTGTAACCCGCATGTATTTTACCTGCTTAGAACAGGAGGGTTGGGGGCCTGGGGATTTAGCTCAGCTGCATGTCCGAGAGTCCGATCTCTGGTCCCAATTTAAAAAAAAAAAAACAAAAACCAAGAGGGTCAAAACAAACCAGTTTAATGGTTTTGTCAAATTCTAATACTTTTTGTTGTTCTGGGGATCAAATTCATGGCCTTGCACTTGCCAGGTCAACCAAATCCGATGCTATTGTATGATACTGCATACAGCTTTTTAAAGTATCTATATGTAGCAGACCATTTATATTCTTATGCTTTAATAGGTACTGCCTTCATTACTAAGATTCATTAAGATTCTTTTTCTCCTGTGAGAAATTCTAAAGATCTGAGAAGACAATATAGATCCTTTGTGTTTTTGTCCTAAGTTTTCATAAAGGAAGATGCTGAGACGATCATTAAATTTATACTGGACATGTCTAGGAAGGTGCTTTTGAAACTTCCTCCTCCCCAATTACAAATGACTTCCTCTGTTACATTATATTTATACTGTGAACACAGGGAGGAAAAGTAGTTCAACATGCAGTTTATGTTTTAAGAGTGTTACAATAATCTTTCCTTTTCTTTTTGGAAGGTGAAAGAGAAAGCCCTGTGTTTGCATTTCCTCTGCTCTTAAGAATAGATGTCCACATTGAAAAGCTCTTCACATACTCCTTTTCATGGGACTTTGAATGTTCACAGTGTGGGCACCGATACCAAAACAGGTTAGTTTTTGCTTAAAATGGATTCATTCTTTTGAAATGGTTCCAGGTGATACTGTGGGAGACAACTCTAGTGATTCCCTTTGAATGCAAAACAATTACTGTGACTTTGATTATTTGGAGACTTATTTGCTTATACCAATATGTAGAGAGCTGGTATGGTATTTTCTTCTCTCTTCAGTTGGCTTTAAGCATTGCAAATAAGGCAGGCGGAGGAGGTGCTGGTATGTAATTTCTAAAGCCAACCGACAGTCCTGTTTCCTCTCATAGTGTTCTCCATACAGGCTGTGAGCATGCGAGATGTTAGAGCCAATAGCTCCAAAAATGTCAGCTGGGTTTGAGCCTCAAGATAAAGAGGCTGTAACTTCCCAGGGCACAAGAGTTTACATATCAAAAACCAAAGCACAGCCTCCCAAAACAATTCCATTGCTACCTTAATTGGATTATGTAAATTGATCTTCTGCATATCTTTATGTGTACAATTTACAGAAGTGCTTTTCTCTCACCTGGCCAGCCAGCTCAAGTTACTCAGTAATTCTGCCATCCTCACTGTCCCTCATCCCTGAGCCACCCCACTTCTTTAGAAGATAATAAATTCTGGGAGAGGCCTAGGATCAGGGCCTTTGTCCGCATATCCTCGCTAGGATTGGACTTAGGACCCCTTGGCTGTCCTTAGCTTAGAATATGTCTTGGTGTTGTTACTGCTGTGAGTTGCATTGGTGGTGGTAGATTAAAATTAACTTGCTGGGATTTCAGTAATGTCTCAATGGGATTATAAATACAACTTTTTGGATTGTGAAAACTAAAAAGAGGATTACAATAGTTGGATGACTGTACACAGTATTTGAGATTATAATATTTGGCGCTCAATGTGGCCTGATACAAGTTGAATAAAACTTGTTTGCACCTCTCTGTGTTCTGTCCTGTTCCTCTACTTTGACGGAATTTCCGCTGCATTTTTTGTCGCTTTACCACTGGATGAATATATTTAAACAATAGAAATTGCAATTTGCTTGCTACTTTAAGCTGAAAGGGTCAAAAAACCCATGGTTTGATGAGAGAATGTTAATAGTTTTTGTAAGAATTTTAATGTTCTCATGTTGTGAACACCTGCTCAGGAGGCTGAGGCAGGAGGATCCCAAGTTTGAGATCAGCCTGGGCAGTTTAGACTGTCTCACATTTTCAAAAAGGCAAGGAATATGGTTCAGCAGTAGCACACTTGTCTGGCCTGCACAAGGCCCTGGGTTCGTTCTGTCTCTGGCACCACAAAGAAGCAGCAACAGACTTCTTTAGTGGGGCATGTGCACATTTTGCCATTACTTCCTGTGGTCCCATGAGAATGTTCCTGTACCTGAACTGTGTCAGCCATAAATTGTGTTTCCCTAAGCCTAGTGGTTAAGGGTTAGAGAGGCTGTGGTGATACACAAGGCCCTCAGACTGGCATTTGTGAGAAGTGGCATGGAGAAAAAGGCCTAGATTCTTTGGCCTCTGTACACCTACCAAGTCGGGGGAGTTAGGTTCTAGGAGATCAGTGAACGGGGCAGGTGTTGATCAGAATGCCCTTACTGAGCTGTACCTGAGAAGGTTGCTGGCTGGCAGTGAAAAGATGACCAGCTTGCCCTTTTGGTCATTTATTCACATTATTAAAATAAAGATAAATCTTTTCATTACTAGTTAACGTTATGAAGTTACTATTATGAAATAAAAATGTGATAAAAATACTAGATATTCATGATGTGATTACAGTATGGGGTTCTTTGTAGTTACGTATTTATTTTTGAGACAGTCTTAGTATGTAGTTCAGAGTGGCCCTGACCACACTATGGAGCAACATGGCCTTGAACTCCTTGTGATTGTCCTGCCACAGCCTCTGAAGTGCCATGATTACGTGTGTGCTCCACCATGTTCAGCTTTTGTATTTAGGGAACAAACCGAATTTTCTTTAAGATACTGCTATAGACTCTAGAGTCCAGGAATTGCAGGCCACAGAAACTATTTTTTAACCTGTTAAATTTGTAATTCTTAGAACAGTATGAGAATGTGTTACTTATACCAGGAAGAGAATAACGGTAAGCAGGTAGGGCTGAGGGAAGATCCCTGTTTGGAGGTGTTAAACGTCTGCTCAGGTAACTCAGAGCCCTACTTAACAGGTGAGGACACTACAGTTTGAAAAGACTGAGCAGGTGCCTCAGGGCACTAGTAAGTGTAGCAATCAGGAGGAACAGTTTAGGTCTTCTAGCCCCAGGGCTTTCTTGAAAGCTCACTGTAGTAGATTCATAATCACCTCTTGGATTTGAAGTAATGTAAATAAGGTTAATGATTACAGTCAGCTTAATTACACATCCTAGTAATTTGATAGCTTTTCATTGAGGATGTTCTGTGTGCCAGGAACTCACTTAGCTGTCGGAGATAACGCCTCCCTGCCGAATTCAGACTGCTGGTTACTTAGGGAGATGGTACATGAAACAGAGGGCTGTTGATCAATGTGGTCTTTTAGCTCCTTTACATTATCTTTGTATACAAGATGGTAATGGAGCACCTAGAGGTGTGTAGAGACCAAGCCCCGAGTGCCCAGGGGAAGAATCTGCAGCCATTTGTGTTTACATTTTGGTTTTGTTTCTTTAAAATACTTTTTCTTCTAAAAATAAAAAGTTAACAGAGAAAAGCAGCAGCATATCACTAACTATATTTCAGTGTTATAACTTAAAAACTGCATACCGTGAGGATCTGCCCCTCCGTCTCTCTGTTTTGGGGCTGCTTGGTTCAGGAAGTCTATTTTGGAGGGAAACACCTGGCTGTTGGAGGCACGCTGCTTCAGTTTGTCATCCAGCACCGGGAGTGTTCTGCGTATTTCAGTTCCCTCTGTAAAATGGGTGCATGCGTAATTCCTGCCACGTAGGTGTGTTCGGAAGTAAGTGCCTGCCGCTGCACCTTGCCTTGCACAGGCACCTCAGGAGACACGGAGAGTGTTAACGCTCTGTTTGCTGAGACAACTCTTCTTTTACAAAATAAAGAATAGCCTTTATTTATAATTGTCTTTGAGAATGAAGAATTTTAACAGAATTCAAGCAGTACATTTGTTCATGCCTTTCTGTTGCTTTGTATTTAAAATGCTAGCTTTCCTGAGAATATATTTCTAACAGCCAGTGCTTTTTTTGTTTATGAATATGTCAATATTTTTTATTTTGTAAAAAGGCTAGTGTCTTTCTGACAGTATATAACTGCTCTTTAAATATACTTTTATTAAAGTGGGTACAGCTGAAGTTCAGTGTGCATCTTAAAAAGTCTTTAGATGACGTGCTATCAAGTAGACTAAAGTGCAGGTTTAGAACTTGGGTAACCTCTGAGAATGCAAAATCCTTCCACAACTAATGCCGTAATTCTTCTAAAGATCAAGCAAATTAAGTTGTATGTATTCCTCACTATACATTGAAGGCACCCCTTTTCATTTTTGGTTGTCTGTAGTAGCCAGCCAGGTTGAGCTGAATAAGAGATGAGCTCTTAAGTTCGATAGCCTGAGAAAGCTGATCTCAGCAGAGGGCTTTCCTGCTTCTCCTTAGGGCGCTTAGCAGTGTCTGGAGACATCAATTACGCTATTGGGGGCTGATGCGGGTGTGGATGAGAGTCCAGAGGTGAAGCTGGACATTCTCCAGCGCACAGAACAGTGTTCACAGCAAGGAGTTATCTGGTGCAGAATACGGCACACTGCCCTGCCTTTCATACTTGCTTATGTCCAGAACTGAAAAACTAAGAGAGCTTTCTTACAACGAATTGGGAGAACATCACCTTACTAATACATGACTTGGGAAAATAAAGGGTATGAATAAGCAAAGGGAGGGATTGTTTCCGCACTGGTTTAAATTTATGTAAATGATTCTCATCAGTGTCTTCTACTTTCATAGGTGTGTGAAGAATCTGGTCACCTTTACAAATGTCATCCCTAAGTGGCACCCACTTAATGCTGCCCATTTTGGCCCGTGTAACAGATGCAACAGTAAATCACAGATAAGAAAAATGGTATTGGAAAAGTGAGTTAAAATTGTCCTATAATTTTGCTTTTGTAAGAAAAAATTTCAATATGTTGAATTGAAAGTGGCAACTAAAACCTAGCTTTCAGAAGTTGGAGCTGGCCTATAGTAGGAATTGCCAGATCAGGAGCCGTGTCCCCAGGGAAAGGGACTGCCGCAGTGAGCGGCCACTGGAGCAGTGACTGGTTATCCGGCCCGTCCTCCTGGTGTCTTTCCTCTTGTGTTTGCCCTTTTTTTCCCCACTGTATGAATATTAGACTTCAAGTTTTTCCTCCTGCTACATTTCTGAAGTCACCAGAATCCTGAGACTTCTTTCATTGTGAGAACCAAATGATTCAAAGGTGATCTATCAGGTTTCTGTCTCGTCTCAGATTTGGCCTGCTGGTGGCTGATTACCTTGTACACTGCCTGCCGCCCTACAGTAGACATGTTTGGTCAGAACTGCCTTGTCCAGTGTTACCAGAGTCACTGTTTTATACTCGTGGGTCAGTTCCATCTTGAGCAGCTCTCTCATAACCCGCTTCCCATGCACCCGTCCTCTTCAACATTCGTTTTAAGTCTAACTGCATTCTAGAAATGAGTGTAATGTAACAAAGAACTAGTGCCCTTAACTTCTGGTGACCTTGAATCTGCCAGAAACTCCTCAGAATCCTTCCCAGCGTTTGTCCTCACTGAACTAATAATTTAGCTGGGAATTTAATACTGCCAGAAAACTCGAGAGAAAGCGAGAACAGGAATCTCCAGGTTTCTACTTCAAGATAAAGTTGACTGGGACACGGCAAAGAGACACTTTGCTGCTGTCCTGCCTGTCGTGGTCTACTCTGTTGTTGGTGGTTGAGGGTGAGGATGCCTTTAGCAGCACCGGCTCATCTCTGTCCTTCCAGTGGAAGTGTGTTTTTGTTACAGCTGTACTCAGTGTTGGTGTTGTTATCCATACACATGTATTTCTCCCCAGCCAAGTAGTAGACAAGGTTATGTTTTATTCTCTAACACTTCTTTATTCCTAAAATGGGCTTGTGTTCTCACTTTCTTTATTACACATTATGAATTTTCTTAATAAATGATTTAAACACCTCCCCTTGCCCCCCCCCCGGGGGGTGGGAGTGACAGTCTTGCTTAAATTTGCCACCCTCTGACCTTCCTGAGTTGAGTGGCTGGGGTTCAGCACTGGCTCCTCTTTTCCACACTGTCACTTCCCAGCCCGCCGTTAGCCTGGGCCTTATCGCATAGTCCACAGCATCTGTCGCCTGTAAACACTGGGTTCTCAGGGACTTTGGTGGCACCAATACCGCCCAGCAGTGCGCTTGTTCCGCGGCACTCAGGTGATTACTTCATCTGCTCTGCTGCTTGCCCTGCAGCGTCTCCATATTCTCAATATTTACTGACTCCTTGTTTGTTCATTTTCTTTGTGTTTTATCTTTTTGGCTAGTACCTGTTTTTGTCCTTCACTATCATGTGATTCCAACTGAGTGGAGGCGAGGTGGGAAGGAAGAGAGTGCCTTGAACCTGCTTTTGCCATTAGTTTCTGAATTGTCTGAGTGGTTAGAGATCCTTCCATGGCAATCAGGCAGAAAGGCGGCAGGATGTGGCCATCTGCTGTCTTCCACTGGGCTGTGGGATTGCTTGAGGCTCCTTGATGCATATAATTTCATGTGACATTTATATTTGCTTTTTCTCAAGCCTCAGGATTAAGGAAATTGTTTAAGTGTTGCTCGGTTGTGTAGATTTGACTGCATTGCAACATATACTTTTTAATTATAATGATACCTTGGTTTACTTGTATTGAGGATTCATGCTTTGGTCAGGAAACTTACCCATGAGGTAAAACAGTCTTTTCAGTCAAAGATGCTTCAAGTTCTACTGGGATGCATAAGCAAAATTTGTAATTTGGACATTTCTTGTGTTCTTCAGTAATAAACTGAATTTTCATGAGGTTTCACTCATTTTGAATGACAAAATCTTTATATAGTCCTTCATAGATTTTTACTTTGAAATTTGTATAAACTTGACTTGGTATCTAATGAAATTTAGGAAAAAACTTAATAAACTTTTTTAGGTATAACTTAAAAGTAATTAATAATCCCTATCTTTGATAATGCCCCCATTAGAAAAAACAAGCCCATTGATAAATCAGATAACTGATACCTAGTGAGTACAAACCTGCTCCTTTTAAGTGTTTTGGAATTACATTCAGTGCATGTGGCACACCAGGTTCTTAGAATGAGACCTAATTGCGATTCTGAAGCTTTTGAAGTGAACTCAGTATTGCCACAGTCTCCTTGAGAAGTCTGGCCGTAGCTTGCAGTTTTAACTGATTTTTTTCACCCTTTAAAGCAACTTGTGTTTATTGAATTTACTTAGGTGTCTCATTTTGAGGCTTTGAATTTTTTTAAGCAGGTAAACTATACCCTCCCCTACAACATGTTAAGCAGAAACACTGATGTGTAGAAAAGTTTAAATTGTATTTGCTAATTTAAGTTTTCATTGTTTGACAGAAAATGGCTTATCACTTATTTATAAGGTTTTAGAAATTTCTCGGGGCTAGGGATTTAGCTCAGCGGCATAAGCACCTGCCTTGCAAGCAGGCGGTTGTGAGTTTAGTCCCTGGTACCAATTCAAAAAAAACCAGAAATTTCTCCCAAAAAGTGTGTAAACCTTTGTCAAATTTTTCTAATGATGTGTTACATGTTAGTATGGTCAGTTGCAGTTATTTGAATTGCTCATTTTATTCATATTTTCATGTCAGGTTGTGAAATAGTTGAAATGATATAATAGACTTTAAAATGCAATGAGATTTAAAAATTACATTTGCAGGTCTTTTTATGCCTAAAGTTTACCTTACTGCTGTTCAGATGTATACAATATTCACATTGTTAAGGTTCCCTGTTCGGAAATAATGGAGATTGTCACATAGCTGGAAGGAAAATAAGCATATGCTTCAGACCGTTGGCGCATGTGGGGGCTGTCGATTGTGGTATGGCTGCTGGCCCCCTGCTGCCCCTCGGAAGCCGGGGTTAGTTTGGTTTCTCTCTTTCCAGTGTTTTTCTTTTCCTGAATTAAGTCTCATGTTAGGTGAAGGCAGGTAGGTCTAGGCTCTTGCTGACTTTTGGTTCCACTTCTGCGAATCTGTTCCAGCCAAGGTTTTTTTGTTGTTCTGGTTGTTGTCTTCCCCCACCGCACCCAATACTTAAGCAAAACCTAGCTTGCTGTCTAGAGCTCTGAGCATTACTGTGTCTCTGACCCTCCAGTAGTAAGGGCAGACAGAAGCCTGAGAACAAAACCTGGGGCAAATTTCTGTCCTCATCTAAGAGTCTGGAAATGAGACAGGTTGGAGCATTGGGTGGGAAAATATGTACGGAGACCCTGAGAGTCTTGAAGTTCCAAAGAGGAACAAGAAGAGAAAAGAGGAAAGTATATTGTGTAGTTAACTCTAAGGTAGCACTGCTTGTAGCTGCACCATTTCTTCTGTATGCTACTAAGAAACAAATGCGCCTTTTTAAGCTCTGTGGGATCAGTGATAAGGTGCATCTCAGACTCAGTAAAATGCAGGGGAGGATAGAATTGATTTGGCCTTGAACTGAGCGTTTGGAGAATTTCAGTTACAAGGTTGTCTGGGAGGGGCGGGGGTGGCTCAGGAGCAGGAGGACAGGCTGGGAGCTTTGCCTCCTGTTGGGTGGAAGCTGGTGGAATGGTGTGAAGCGCTTCCTGCTGGCCCTCAGATAGCACTGGTGTAGTAAGTCAGTTTGTTGGCAGGGAGGCAAGTATAATGAAGAGGGTGTTTGCAAATTTATGTAGTTACTCTGGTGACTTTTTGTTGTTGGTGGTGCTAACATCAAATTTCTAACCTAGCTAGATTGCAAAGGAGCTTCTGAGAATTTACTTGCATTTAGTTAGAATTTGAATATATGCGTACTATGTCTGAGGAAGTAGGCTGTGAGTTTTAGTCTTGGCAGTATTTTACTAAGTCACAAAAGAATAGAAGGCTTAAAATGTATAAAAAGCACAAAAATCTCAAGTACAGTTATATAGGTTATTTCTGTTAATACATGTCTTAATTTTCCACGTGTGAGCTCATGTAAGTTTAGGAAACTTGAACTAGGATTGTGAAAATCGTTAATAACTAATTTCAAAACATAGGTTGAAAGATCTAGTTCACCCAAGGGAACTAGATGTTAGCCATATTTTAATTTTTAGCTTTATTTAATTTTAATTTATTTACTTTTTAATATTTTACACAAAAGGCAAGTGTAATCATTATGTATAGCTAAAATGTACCAATAAATTTAACCAAAATAAAGGCAGCTATCGTTTATATATCTAGTAGTGAGAATAAATCAAGTCTTACTGTGAATCATTGATACTGAGATCCAAACTCAATGATAGGAAGTAAGGAATACATTTAAAAATTGATAACATGGTAGATCTTATAATTATGACATCTTGGATTCAGTGGAAATGGTATAAAAATTGGTGGAAAAGAGGTCAATGTTGCAGACAGTGTCTAGGCCTTGGTAGGCAAGTGAGTTAAATTGCTGGTACCAAAAGAATTTTTGCTTTTGAGGATTTAATTATTCTCTAACAAAAAGATTGACAAAGAGTAGTTTACAAATTACCCCTTCTCATTCTGAACATTGTAGACATTTATTTCAAATGAATAAATTTGAAGTTTATTTCAAATGAATAAATTTTGATAAGCTATGGTAAGTTTTGACAGTTTTAAATATTAGGAAAAGGAGTGCTCAACACTTTTTTAACTCCTGAGAACTTTGTTTAGGTGAGTCCTGTCTCCTATCTGGATTCTATTTTCTGGTTTGACAATAGTGGTGAAATGTATTTTTGAAATTATGGATATCTTGAAATTTATAACACATCAACCCAGTGTTTTATTTTCTTCTACTTAGTTACAAATTAAACTTTTCCGACATAAAACTGTTAATTGACTGGATCTCTCTTGTCTTACCAGAGAGAAAAAGGCAAAATCAATGTTTATTTGACTATCTTAGGTTTATTACCTAGTTTTGTATATTACTTACCCATATAACAATTTGGGAACTTGAAGCAAAGTACTGAAAGGTGTGGATTTTTTCCTTTTAATTCTACAAAATAGCTACTGTGAGATCGTTAAAGCATTGTTTCTGTTTACAGGGCATTTTTTCTGTAATGGTCTGTAGTCTTACTGCATGATGGCTTCCAACTGTCAGTGATACCATTGCAAAAAGTTTAGTGTTACATACTTCTTAGGGTGAATTCTGTATTCGAATTAAGGCACACATCTGGAGGGCCTGAGGAACAATAAATCCCATCAGCTTTGCAGACCTTAGCCTGTCTGGTTGACTTCAGATCATTTTTGTATAAGCAGACACATAGCATTAAACTCGACTTCTCCTGCCTTCTCCCCTAGAGTGTCTCCCATATTCATGGTGCACTTCGTGGAGGGGCTGCCACGGAATGATCTGCAGCACTACGCATTTCATTTTGACGGCTGTCTTTATCAAGTAGCGTCTGTAATCCAGTACCAAGCAAATGACCATTTCATAACATGGATTTTACATGCAGATGGTAAGTGCTTAAGTTTTTTTGTAATAATAAGCATAGAAACCAAAACATTTAGTGGACTTTTTTTTTTTAATGATAACCTTTGCCTTGACTTATTTTTTGTCTATTCTGGCCTTTGCCTTTAATTCTTCTGCCCATCTCCCTTTAAAGTTTGATGGGTTAGTATGCTTTTTAACTCTTCCATTGTGTACCCTGCAGGCATATGCATCATGTGTATTTTAGACAAAGGATGAAATCATATACTACTGTTATTTTGCAGTTTTCTCTTTTCCACTTAATTTCTTTTATAAAATCACTTGTATCCTGTAATCTCAGCACTCAGGAGGCTGAGTCAGGAGGATCGATGAAAATTCAAAGGTAAACTAAACTACACAGTGAACTCACTCAAAAAATCAAAAATAAATAAAATTAGTTGTGTAATAGTATATGTTTAATAAAGAGAAGTGAATGTTGAAAATTCTACGTTTTTAGATACCTTACACTTTTAAAAGGAAAATACATCAAAGTGAAGATTCTTAATTGAGAACAGCAAAAATAAGTTTTACTTAGTTGGCTGTTGTAAATATGAACAAAATAAATTCCACTTTTGTTTTGTTTTACTTAGAGATAGGGTCTTGCTGTGTAGGACCTTGTACTCATGGTGATCCTCCTGCCTCAGCCTCCCCAGTGCTGGGATTACAGGCATGGTCTACTATGCCTGTGGAATTCTGCATAGACTATTAGATATTAAACTGTGTGGCTCTTCTGTCACTGAAGCAGCATCAGAAATCATAGTTTGCTAACAAGTTCAGTCAAGGTAACACCTTTACTTAGCTTCTCAATGTAAGGCTGAATAGGTACAATCCACAGGCTAGGGGGCTTTTTTTCCTTCTAGTTGTTTTCTGGGGTTTAGTTCTGGCTTTGTTTCCTTCCGGGGTTTTTTTGTCTTTAGATAAGATGATTCTTCATAGAGCAGTGATGGCAGCCTTTTAGAGACTGAGTGCCAGAATGCAGCCCAGAACCCACTTACTTACTGCAAAATACCACACTGTAATTAAACCTGAATTCTGGGGTTTTAGTGTAGAAAAAGCAACTCGTGTGTTAACGTCTTTTGTTTTAAATGAAAAACACAGTAACATGCGTGCCATCAGTGTGCCACCACTGCCTTAAGAGTGTGGCATCAGGCCCTTGATGTTTGGATATAATAACCGTTTTCCATTGTCTGAGCACTTTTCCAAGTTGATGTGTTCCTCCTGCAGTGGTTTGGATGGATGGATGGATGATGGAATAAAAGACACAGGTCAAACTGAAACACATTGTAATGTGATTACTTACCTTGAAGCTTTACCCTACACCAGAATTTGGCAGGAAGTAAATTTTCAGTATGTTAAAACAAAAAACCAGCGTACTTCAACTTTGATTGCCCTCCAGGGAATGTAAAATCCACTTCAAGTACAGTGTCGTTTCCAGTCCTGACAGCATGTAAGAATTATTTGCTCAACTTCTAAAAATTGTCCAGATTCTTATCACAAATCAGACTTAGGATCTGGGTCCAAATACTAGTATTGTTTGTTCTTTGTTTTTTGGGCAGTGTTTTTGTTTTTGAAACAGGTTCTTGCTGTGTAGTCCAGGCTGGCCTCAACCTGAGGCGACCCTTGCAAGTGCTGGGATTATAGTTGTGTGCCACCACATCCACCAGTACTGTTGTAAGAGTTCTCCAGGTGATTCTTGTGTGTTCATGATAGAAACTAAAAGTCCAGAGTTTCAGTGGTTATAAAATCGGGGATTCTGGAAGTACATAGTCATGTAAAACACAAAACCTCTGAATGGCTTTGTTTGTTTGTAGGGACAGGTTGCACCTCTGAGCTATCAGACTTAACCATCCGAACCCATACTTCTGTTGTGTGCTCTACTCAGTTTACTTTGTTTCTATCAGATAGTATACTTTAGTAAACATTTTACTCTTGGTTTTAATTTTTCTCTTTAGGAAAAGACTTTTAATATGTCGGATCCTGGGCTTGTTTATTATTCTCACTGACTAACTTTAGAAACTGGCTAGTCTATCAGCAACTAAATTGGCCTGAAGTGGTAGCTCTTTCTCCTTTAACTCCCCTGTTCAGGATTAGTCCCTGTGGGATGCCTCGAAACCTGTGCCCGATAATGGGTTTCTCACACTGAAGAGTGAATAGGATGGACACACTGTGTCAGGAAAAACTGCGTTTTCTCTGCGTGCTTCCAGAAATCCGTTTTAGAAAGGAGGGACGCTTATGCACAGGAGGAGGGGAAGGAAACCAGCACGCTTTGCACGCTTCAGCATCTGTAAACACCTGGCTATGTTAAAGATGCTGGGTTGGTGGTCTCTTCTCTGCTGCTGAGACAGCGTGTCCTAGAACACTGTACTCCCTTTAAAAAGTAAGAGTGGTGTGGTTGCTCACTGCTGTAATAGAAGGCACAGAAAATGTTTCATAGTGCATGTGGTGATGTTTGACATCATTTTATTTACCACTTTTAATTTCATAGGAACAGCTACCTAGTAGCTGTGCCACAGTTCTCATGACATTTTACCTTTTGTCCTTGTTTTTGTTTCATAAATACATACTGACATACACAGTGGGGATCAGTACTAACAGCGCAGAGGACTGTTGATCAGTGGAGAGTTGTTACTCACCCAGGCCCCTGGTTAGCTCTTCTCAGACTGTCCCGTGGTGGTGAGCGAAGTAAAGCACAGCTCCCCTTAACAGCCATCACCTGTCGTTCGTAGCCGTCTTCCTTTGCTTGCACGTTTTATTGTGGCAATGTATACGTAAAATTTACCATTAACTCAACATTAAATTTATAATTCATTGGTATTAAATGCAAAGGTTTGTACAACCATCAATTTCTGAAACTCTTTCATCATCCCAAACTGAAACTCATTAAGCGTTAACTCCCTGCCCTTTCCAGCTCTGGTAACCACTCTTCCCCTTGTCTCTGAATTTGATGACCCTTAGGTTCCTCTTTTAAGCAGAATCATACAGAATTTGTCACCGTGTGTCCTGTTTCATTTAGGATATTTTCTAAGTTCATCCATGCTATGGCACATTAAAAATTCCCTTTTTAAAGCTTAGTGATAATCAGTTATGTGTATTAACCTTTGGATTACTGGTGGACATTTGGGTTTTTATGTTTTAGCTATTGTGAAGAGTACTGCTGTTGCTTAATGGCTATTGAGGTCCTATTTTCAGTTCTTTTGGATATATACCTACAAGTAGCATTGTCAAGTCTTATGGTACTGCCAACATTTGTTATTTATTTTCACAAGTTTCTCCACATCTGTCAGCATTTGTTATTTTTTTTTCTAATAGGTGTCTTTTCCTCCCTAGAAATAGTTTAAGCAAGAACCTTCCTTACTTATTATGCCTTAGTTTGCTCAGAATGACCCTTCCTACTGCCTCACTGAAATTGTACAGGCAAAAGTAACTTTCCATGACCAGATGTTAGAAATAATGGGCTCGTCACAGGTTTTCATCTCAGTATTAAGGTGTTTTTAGACTGTAGACAACATACCTAGTCCTTTTTTCCCTTGGATTTGCATCTCTTTCCTGCTTGAAAAATGAGAAGGCACGAACTCAGAAACTGAAACAGGTTATGTTGTGTTTCAGATAACAAACTTCGTTAGGTCAAACATTCATACAGATGAAGCAACTTATTCTATTTTCTAATATTGTTGGATAAATTTGGTGATGGTATATTTTAAGGCCCAAAAGTTAAATATAACTGGTCTTGATTTTTGTATTTTAGAAAAGAATGTAAACTGTCCAACAAACTGCTTTAGTTTTTCAGATTTCTTCAGATGTGAGCCTAACTTTTGTCACCCAGATAGGGACTTCTACATTTGGTAGGGAAGAGTGGCGACAGGAATCAGGCGTGTGTGGAGGGAGTTCTTTGCTGGGGATTCAGCAGTGCAGCGGTGAGGAGGCCAGCAGGGGAGGTGGGGAGGCGTCTGTGCATGTCTAACTCTGACTCCCTTTTCTGTCCCTCAGGTAGTTGGCTGGAGTGCGATGACCTGAAGGGGTTATGTGCTCAAAAGCATGAGAAATTTGAAGTTCCTGCTTCAGAAATACACATCGTTATTTGGGAAAGAAAAACAGCTGAAGCTTCAGATGAAGAAGCTGCCTGCCTTGCGCTTGCGAAGACTAACGAGCAGCAGGCTTCTGGGGAAGCGCCGCCAGCGTCTCCCGTGTCCCACCCTCTGGGTCAGGCTGCCTCGGCAGAGGCGTCCTCGGGCACGCTCCCCACAGCTGTGTCCCTTGCTTCTCACGCTGTTCCACAGCACAGAGATGTGGCTCATGAAGATTGTGTATGTCCAGATCCAAAAGTTTTGGCTGACAATAGTATTTCACCTCTGACACTTGAAGGATCTGTCTTGAAAACTGCCTCAGTGACATCCCTACCAGAAAACACACCTGTAGCAGAAAATACAGCGCTTGGTAAGATGAGCACTTCACAGTTGAAAGGATCACCAGTGGATTCTTCCGTGTCAGCTCCATGTAAAGCCCAGGCTGTGGATTTAAGTTTCCCGTTGCAAGTTGTAAATACACACACGCAGTTGGTTCCGCTGAATAGGGAGGATTCTGCAGGTGCTCAGCCTGTGAGTAATGGTTGTGCCACTGGTCTTGTACAGGTGGTGAAGCCAGTGGAAGTTAAAAAGGACACTCAGTTAAAACAATCCCTTCCGTGGAAAATTGAGAAATTAAAACCAGATTCACCTTCTCTATCTCACATATCTAATTTGACGAAAAAAGAAGCCACAGCAGATCCACAGACCATAAAAGCCAAATCATCACTGAATCAGCCCCCAAAAGAAAATCAGAAAAAACCATTTGTGGGAAGTTGGGTTAAAGGCCTCCTAAGCAGGGGTGCTTCTTTTATGCCAGCTTGTGTTTCAGCTCATAATAGAAACACTGATTTGCAGCCTTCAGTGAAAGGGGCAAGTCATTTTGGTGGCTTTAAAACTAAGCGTGCGAAGCAAAAGGCCAGCCACGAATCGAAGAAAGCCCATAGATCTGCAGCCAAGCCCTCCGCAGCCGGCAGCCCTCCCCCAGGTCTTCCCCGGCCAGAGGACACAGCTGCTGCTCCACGTGTGTGTGAGCCCGCGGCCTCAAAGCTCCCGAAGGAGCGGGACGGTGGCTCCCACGGAGCGCACCTCGGTCTCCCTCCTCATGGAAGGGAAAGTGGGGGTTCCTCAGCAGACCGCAGAGACTCGGCCGAGGGTCAGATTCATCAGCTTCGTCTAAAGCTTCTTAAAAAACTAAAGGCAAAAAAGAAGAAGTTAGCTGCCCTCATGGCTTCCCCTCAGAGTGGACCGCCTCCTAGTGAAAATCTAGAACAGGGGCCCCCGTGTGAGTCTCCAAATGATTGTGAATCAATAGAGGACTTGTTAAATGAACTGCAGTATCAGATTGATGTTGCGGATAATAAATCTGGATGTACCACTGTGACTAGTGTTTCCTCATGTAATCAGCTTCATGAAGAAATTTTAGCAGAATTACTGTCCCCAAGCATTTCAACAGAGCTCCCAGAAACTGGGGAGGCTGGCTTCAGGTATTTGGAAATGGGCGACAGCCATGTCCCAGCCCCAGAACCCACTGAATTAACTAATAATTCCCAGATTGCACACCTGAAACAGGAGCATAATTATTGCAGCCCCACCAAGAGGAGCCATTGTGAAGTCCAGGCGGTCTCGCAGACGAATGGTACCTGCGTAAGGACGTTGGCCTTGGAGAGCCCTGCTAAGACTGATCTCTTTGATGAGTTTTTTTCTACTGTGTTAACTTCTTCGGCAAATGACGCCTTAGACTTACCTCATTTTGATGACTATCTGTTTGAGAATTATTGAGTATTTGTTAACTTTAATATTTATTATTGCTGTTAGAAAACTGTACCTGTGTTTTCAGGTCGTATTTATACACTGTCCTTGTGATAACCATGAATGAAATATAAGCTGCTGAAAGTTTTACTTTTGGTCCTGCCCATGAAGCATGTAACCTATTATACAAATTAAAATAATTAGGAATTGTTTTCTCCTTATCGAGTTCATTTTGTAGTAAAGTGCTTGTAGGAGAATAAGGATTTTAAATGTGAAAGATGAAAAATGTGTCTTAATTTCTAATAATTTATATAGGGGGTGCATTAAATTTCTGGGTTTTTAAGTTGTGATTAGGTTGCTCAAGAGAAACTAGTTTGTACAGACAAGTTTTGGTGTAAAATGTATGAATGTGTGACACTTTTACTTCTGGTTCTGTGGGCTTAAGAGCCCAAGTCTTTTCTCTCCCCAGCACATTGCTGTGGAATATACACGTGCACAGTGCACTTGTCTCCTTTTCTCTCAGGACAGACGACAGCAGAAAGCTTACTAAAACCGAGTAGTAGAAAGTGATCATTAAAGGGCTGGGGATTTAGCCCAGTGGCGTAAGCACCTGCCTTGCAAGCGTGGGGTCATGAGTTTGATCCCAGTACCAAAAAAAAAAAAAAATCACTGCAGTAAGTAATCATTAAATAATCTATAAAAAGAAAAAGTAATCTCTTTATGAAGTATGCAAAGTGTTTGTGTGTTGTCAGACATACCATCTTTTTGCTCAGGACCTCTCTGAGCCTCTCTGAGATGCCAGCTCACAGTTCTGTGGGGGAGAATAACCAAGGCTCACAGAACTTGCAACATGTGGGTTCTGTTATATACAAGATGTTCACTTAAAACTCGGCATCCCTACGCGTGAGATCCTTCTGTCACGTTTGACCACTAAACATTGCCTCGATGTTAAGCTGGAGAGTGGGTTTGAACAGAAGTGGCTGGCACCGCGGTTAGAAGTGTTGAGCTTGTCATTCCTTGTTCCGCCTCTCAAGTTGCCTTTAACATTTGGACCCCCAAACAGCAGCATCACGGTAGTGATTGGCGTTAAACTCTGGCTTAAGGAGGGGAGCCAGTGGTAAAATACTTTCCAGGGGTTCATTACTTCATAACTTACTTGCCAAATTTATTTCCAAGTCTCTTTTTTTGGATTGTAAAAGTAACATATTCTGAAGAAAACTTGAGTTTTGAATCATCTTAATAACTTAGTGGTAACTGCTGCAGATACTTTGGTTTTGATGCATAGACTTTAAGAGTGAGGTCCTGGGTTTGGGGATTTAGCTCAGTGGCATAAGCGCCTGCCTTGCAAGTGTGTGATCGGGAGTTTGATCCCTGGTACCCATAAAAAAGAAAAAGACAAAAAAAAAAAGAGGTCCTATTATGATGATCTCTTTCCTTAATGCTTGGTGTTTTGCAGTATCTTGGAGTTCTGGATGCCTCTTGATAACATAAGAGTATAGACAACTTGTTTGCCAGTTTTTAGATCCCGAGATGACTTGTATATACTGTTGTGCTGCAGCAATTACCTTTTGTAAATTTTGTACAGATCGAAGTTTTATTTTTTGGAACTGGAATCACTAGATCAGTGAATATGTGTACATTTAAAGTCTTGTTTTTTTAAGATAGGGTCTTGAACTTGTTATTGTTTTCCACCTCAGTTTCCCAAGTAGCTGTTACCTGAGGTCTCCTCCCCTATACCCAGCCTGCAGTTTAAAGTCTTTAATGATGTTTTGATTGGCTTCCCTGAATCCTCTCTGGTAAGATTTTGGCGCCCTACAGAGACAGAGGAGAAAACAGGCCTTTATTGAGGGGCATGGCAGGGCTGCAGAAGAGAGGCCAGTACCTTCTAGCGAGAACGAAGAAGTGGAAGTATTTCATCAGGTCTGACTGGGAAGGGGTTTGGGAGGTGTGAAAATGACACATCAGCAGCTGATTTGAAGGAGCGGCTGCATGCACACAACAGGAAAGATTTACTGAGGGCTGCGAGTGGAGCGCTTTGTGGAGTCGAGGGATTCAAGAGGACTCCACACATGAGCAAAAATGGACCAGGAGGTTTATTTTTGGAACTAGAAGAACATAGAAGTTACTCTTGGAGAAAGTTGCTTCTCTGGGGCTGGTACCAAGTTGGGCAAGTGTCATGTTAGAGATAGCTAAACCCCAGGCTGGCAGAACCTAACACTCACCAGCTGTTGTAGTCAGTTTGCAAGGAAAACAATTTAATATAGGACACACAATTCATAAAATTACAGTAGTCATCAGTCAAATACAAAATGCAGGAAATGTGTTCACACACGAAAGACCGAAACAATCCAGCTGAGGGCCTGGATCCCATGGCGGGGTCCTGCGTGAGTCCAACTGAAGACCTAAGACTCAGCAATGTCCTCCACAAGTCCAGCTAGAGGCTTAGAACCCACAACAGTGTCTCATGCAAGTCTGCATCAAAGATCTGCACCAGGAAGGCCCAGAGGTCTGGTGAGATCCAGAAAGATCAAGGATTTGTGCTAGCAGGCTGAGGGATCTGCTCTGGAGCCAGGAAGCAACACTCGAGACCAAAGCTCCCCTGAGGAGAACTGCAGCCATCCTTAGTGACAGTGAGGTCCAAGCTCCTCTGAAGATAAAAACAGCTGAGTTCTTCACAGGAAAGCCAGTGTGACAAGCCTTTCCCAGAGAACCACCTCTTCCCTCCCAGCTCTTTTCATGCTGTTGGCGACAAGCCTCAGATGGGCCCTGTACACCCAGCACCCATCTGACTCAATTGAGCTGTGTGTTAAAAGTTGACCACCACTTAGTCCACCACACCAGCTCTAGGCGGTGACAGTGGAGGACCAAAGGGGAAACTGGCCTTGGCTTTTTGTTTACATTCCACGATTATTGAGGTGGAACATTTTTGTAACTGTTGGCTAGTTGAATTTCTTCTAAGGAATTATTTGTTCATCCTTTGTGTATTACTATTGAAGAACAAGGGCTTTTAGAGTACTGTTAAGGGTTCAGCACGGTTGTAAGCCTCAGGAAGGATAGTAAATTTTCACTCTTTGAAGAATTTATCTTTTAAATGAGGTAGGTGGTAGCGGAGATATGTACAATTCTAGGTATTTTAAGTAGTCATGAGCAAAGTCATGAAATACTGAACTAGGAAATACTGAACCATCATTGCTAGGAGAAATACAAGGTTAGGTTTCCATGAGCTTCTATAATCGTATTTTTGTAAACCAGTCAGCCATGATCTTTGTGTATGCGTGTTCCTATTCAAAGATAGCATATAATCTTAGCATTAACTTGGTAATGTTGAACTTAAGACCAAGCATTATAACTCAGGCCTGAATGAAATTTACCTAACAGGAGCTTTTCTTTTTGAGGCATATTCCAACCACCTTGTATTTGGAAATACAGCATTCAGCTCTGTGGTTGGGCCCATATGGAAAGATGCCATTAAATAGACCATAAAAACACCCATTTGATTGTGGTTTGGAAGTTGGAATAAGGACCTCAGCTGGGGGTGTGCATTCAGCAACTGAAGTGCTTTTTTGAGCATGTTCGCAAACAGCCATAAAGAGCAGAAGTGTTGATTTTTAGGGTTACATTAATTTTAAGCAAGTAGGTGAGTTTGCCAATACAGAATTTTCAGATGTGAGAATTGATGGTTAAATGGCACCCATACTGTGGAGAAGAGAGCGGGTGAGGAGGAGACCTATTTTGGACTGGATAAAGACTTGGAATGTCTTGGAGGTGGGTGACATTTGGAAAAGTTAGAGAAGTAGATATGACTGCAGTCTTGAGGAACAAGTGTTTGGCTTGTCTGGGTTGCTATAAAAGTACCTTTGGGTAATTTACCGTAATAAGTTTACTTCTCAGTTCTAGGGCCTGGGAGGTCCACGGTGAAGGCTCTAGCAGTGTTCCCACAGTGACCCACAAAGCCATTAGATGTGATACCTGTGAACGCCTTTGATCTCTTAACTCTTCCCTGCCCGCTACACTGCTCAACTCCGTGTCCTCTTTGCTGTCTTCAGTCCTCTGCTGTGGTCTCAGTCTCCCCACCCTCACCCCACCCCAATTCATGTTGGAATAAAAGTCTCCAGTGTAATACCGGAGGTCAGAACTACCGTGAGTGCTGTATGCAGCTAGGGCTGGTGGGGCAGTGGGGCTGCTGACTCGCTCTTCAAACCTTTTCTGAAGCTTAGCAGGGAAGTACTAGGTCAAGGTTTTTGTTACTGTCTTTCGGGCGGGAGATGTAGTATGTTCCTGTGTGTGCATGGGCGTTCCTGGAGAGAAACAGGTAGGTGAGAGCAGTTGCAGGAGCTAGGGATGGGATCCAGTGTAGACAGGGAAGGTGTGACCTGAAGGACCAGAAGAGTATCATCTTAATATGAGGGGAGACTCTACTAGTCACAGAGTTAGGAAACAATGGTGAGAACAAAAAACATGGCTTTTGATGATTTTCTCAGGGGAACATTTTCTCAGGGGAAGGAAGGAGTTCAGAAGTTTGCTTAAACAACTAGTTGCAGATCAGCGAGAGCTATTCCCGTAGGTCATACAAGGAACCCACTGAGTCTTTAGGAATTTAACCGAGACCAGCTAAGATGAGGCTTTTTTTGGTTTGGTTTTTGTGTTCTTTTGTGTAGCTCTTCAGGTGCAGGTTACAGAGTGGAGCGCAGGAAGCTTGGATTTGCCCCTAGTAGACAGATGGAGGAAAAAGAGAATTAAGATTTTACCTACGGGCAGTGGATATAGTTTGGATCCAGAATATCCCCCGAAGGCTGGCATACTAAATTCTCAGTCTCCAGCTGTGCCCTGCTTGGAAGCAGTAGATCCTTTAAGAATACCACAGGCCCGGGTTCATGGGATAAACTTAAAACTCTGAGCCAAAGTAAGGCTTCTCTCTTTAGAAGCTGATTATCTCAGGCATTCCTCTGCAGTAACTGACTGACACAGGTACAGTTACTGCAATGGGTAAGCAGAGAGCAGTAAAGGGAAGGCGGAAGGAGGGTTCCAAGCAAGCCAGCCCCAGGTGGGGCAAGGACGCTGATTAGAAGGCGCTGTGGTGGGGATGAAGCCCTCGGAGGTAGCGGAGCTGGGTGATGAGGAAGTTTGAAGTGTAACCTGGGAAGTGCATGACAAGTGGAAATGAAGGGATGAAGAGGGCAGGATGGTGTGTGGGTTGTCTTTGGGAGAAGGC